GCGTCTCTGGCTGTCTGCCAGTAATCTGAACCAACGCTACGCAATTGCCAGAAATGCACGCAACTCGTCTCAAAACACAAGCAACTTGCGAAACCTCTTGTATAGGAGAAGGACATCGCCTAGCGGGTATCATTTCACAGGGCTTTGCTCGTTTTCACGTTTCATTTGGCAGCTCCAGTTCGAGACTCACAACTTTTCAGCACAAGCGTCGTAAAAAAGGAAGTACGGTTTGGCAGCTCCGGCTTGAAAGTCGCAACTGTTCAGTGCAAGTGTAGTAAATGTAGTAAAAGAAGCACGCTTTGGCAGCTACAGCTCGAAAAGTCACAACTGTTCGCTTTGGCAGCTCCAGCTCGAAAAGTCGCAACTGTTCACTGTGGCAGCTGCGGCTCGAAAGTCGCAACTTTTCTGCAGAAGTGTAGTGGTAGTGGAAGTACATTTTGGCAGCGTTGGCAAATGATATTTTCCTTACATAAGGGTAGTCCCGTGCCCAAAAACATGTTTACTCAAGGCGCCGTTTGATTGTTCTTGGTATGTCCAGGCCTGTATTGGTCTTCCAGAGGTTTTGCGCGCTGCGAGGCTCTGATCTTTTCCAAGTTCAACGGGAGCACACCACGATTCTCCAAAAGGATCACTGCCTGGCCAGGGAGGCGAAGACTTCGCTCAAACCCCGGAAAGCCTCACAGGACATGCTCTCAGGTATCCGGGAGCCCAGTGGTTGCGACGCAAGTGTTTGTGCCTCTTTGATTTAGGCACAATGAGAACCTGCCCTTGTGGAAAAACGGAATCTGGTAATCATTAGAATAATTTGGAAACCAGTGGCATCGGTGTTGGATTGTTACGCCAGCGTGCTGGCTGTTCTCGACCTGTACAGCAACACTGCAACCTTTCCGGTGCAAGCGTGTCTCTCCGAACAGAGGCACAGGTCTGTCCTTCCCTGAGCTAAAAGCTAGCTGGCTGTGGGTCAAAAATAGGTGCCCCACATGGAACCCAGGTAAACACAAACAAACACAATCTGCGGTCCCCTGCTGGTTGAGCTTTGACCCATACCCTGAGCCCGTGCCTTTGCCGCCACGCTCTGCGCGAGGTGCTGATGCTTGGCAACATCTTTGGCCAGATCCGCAAAGCACATGGGTGGCTTGCAGCCGGGCGGGCCCTGCGTGGGGAATGAACTCAACTCGGTAAGACATCATGGGTTTGCCCTGGTAGTTCTTCCTTCACTGCCCATTGGGCAAAACGGGTGTGCACAACGTAAACTCCAAACGCTCCATACCAACATGAGATTTCCAGACAAGAGCTGTATGGGTATCATGCTGCGCAATGAATGGAACACGAAGGGAAGTTCCAGGCAAAGACTGCCAGCCTGACTGCGTGGGACCAAGAACATGAATAACCCGCGTTGTCTGTTTCCGAGATTGGTACGCTTAAGGACCACGGGCCCGTTTCCATCAGTGGGTAACAACATCAATTTTGCCCTCAGGCTCCTCTGGCAGTCATGCTGGCTTCAGTTGCATACTACTCGTGAGTAAACTTGTTGATAGCCTCGCCTCTGCCTTCCATGCACTTCTGGCAACACAAATGACTCACCAGCCGTATTTGGCTGTGGCTCAAAAAGGTGGTACCAAAATGGCACCTTGGGAAATGGAACCAAAGACTAAACACCGGCCATGTAGCCCCAGCTCTTTGATTTTGAGCCATACCCATTTGTGGCAATCCCGGCGGATTTTCCCGGTGCCTGATCCAGTCGCAAGCGATAGATGGAAGCCAGCACTCGCTTCACCGAGGTGTTGAAGTGCGCATCTGCTGAGACGGCCTGGAGTCGTTTCAGGGATGCTCCCCCAAGACCTAACGCTGCCATTACTCAGCAACTGACAGCTTAGAACTTAGTAACTTGAGGAACCAGGCTGAGCTAACAAAGCGCCACCTTGCTTTCAGGATAAAAAGAAACCATTTCCATGTTTCTACTTTGTGCAGCATATCCACCAGACTCTTCAAAGCACCACATTGGTGCTACTGGTACCTTAATCGCGAAACGGTGCATCCTTTACGCCGCATAAGGATTAGTGCCAAAATGGGAGGATTGCCCAGCTCCACTGGGCAGCTCCCCTCAGCAGCTGATGGGAGTAGAATTGATGCCACTCCCACAGCGAGGGAGGAATCCTCCCACCTCACCGGATGCCCTCCCGGCATCATGGGTGAGGAAGGAAAGTAGCGAAGATCAGCTTGATCAATTCGCTTTCGACTGAGGGGAAGACCCGGTTCTCAGTCGGAAATTGCGGGTCCGGATGAGTAAGTTCATCCGCCCATGTGTTAAAGTCGCGCTTCACATGCGACGGTCCTAACATGACCTGGTGGTCATGCAGTGTTAACACAATTTCCATGAGGATGGCCGCATTGGGCATCCTGCGAGTGGAATCGTTAAGCAGGGAGAAAACGTTTCCCTGGTTATCACTAGCAACCAGAATCCTAGTGTGAGAAGCCGAGCCGGCTGCACAAAGCAGAACAGCCCTCACCAAAAGGAGGAGGCCGAAGAGCTCCAAGGCCGCTATCGCCCGCTGCGGGTCCCCAGTAGTGAAGGCCCACGGCTCGCCCTCCGGTGTGATTCTGTGTTGGAACCACTTCACTCGGGACTTGTCGGGGTTGGGCACGTCCGAGCACCAACCACCAACCCATGCATGGTCCGCCTGTTTGCCAGCTCCCGCATCAGATGCCCCCGTCCATGGAAGTGTGGGAGCAAATATTCAGACCCGGCTCAACGCCACCACCATCGCCCAGGAGGAGGCCAAGAAGGCGGACCAGGTGGAAGCGGTGGAGCGCTCCGCGGCGGTCCTCCACGAACTTCAAGGGGGGGCCATTGACGGAGGAGGTGATGGAGGCCTGCTCCTGAAGAACCTGGACTTGGACCTCTTCCGTGAGAAGCTGCTGGACAAGCTGGGTGCGGACTGGGGGAGACCCACACCGGAGCTCCTCCAGGCCCAGACCACTGCGGAGGAGGCGAAAGCGAAACACCAAGCCCGACAGGCGAAGGGCTCCCTCGAAACCAGAACATGACCAGCTCGCGCTTGGACTGGATGCGTTGGCCAAGTCCTAGCCACGCGAGTCCTGTATTAGAAGAGCAGTGTTGACAACTATACTATGAAGGGAAGCCCTTCGCCTGTCTGGGGATGTGTTTCGCTTCTTTCGCCTTCTCCGCCAGTGGTTCTGGGCTGGAGGAGCTCCGGGGTGGGTCTCCCCCAGTCCGCACCCAGCTTGTCCAGCAGCTTCTTCAGGGAAGAAGAGGTCCAAGTCCAGGGTCTTCAGGAGCAGGCCTCCATCACTCCTCCGTCAATGGCCCCCCCTTGAAGTTCGTGGAGGACCGCCGCGGAGCGGTCCACCGCTTCCACCTGGTCGCCTTCTTGGCCTCCTCCTGGGCGATGGTGGTGGCGTTGAGAGGGGTCTGAATCTTGAAGGCCTTCACCGCAGACGGGTGGAAGGCTCTGCATTCCTGGCCCTCTTCCTTGTCGCCTGGCAATGGGGGCCTCTCCCCCGGTGGGGCCGTCAGAAACTCCTCGTCCAGCTCCATGGGGCAGTTCCTGATCACCGCCCGGACCGAGGAGGGGACGAAGTCCGAGAAGCTGGCCTGGTCCGGGTTCTCGCAGGCCATCGGGTCGGTGGCCAGCTCGCTGACGTCCACCGAGGCACTGAGCTTGAGGTCGCGGGCCCGGTCCGTGTCAGGGCCTTCGGCACCCGCGGACCGGGCCGCCGTCCAGACCGCATTGCCCTGGTCATCCACCGTCAACTGCCAATGCGTGCCCGCCATCTCCAGGGTGGCCGAGTTGGTCGCCGTGTCAGTTGGTCGCCGTGTCAATGGGCTCCGTCTTCTTGCCGCACCCCATGCACTTCGTGGCGCCCTGCTTCACCCAGGGCATGGTGCAGCAGGGGCAGATCCAGGATGTGGGCACCTTGCCCAGGGGGCGGTTCTCCAGGCCCCCGTACCCCAAGCCAGCGCGCTTGCCAACCTGCTGTCCCGGGGTGCTGAGCCGGGCCTCATGCTCGTACTTCATCTTGGCGATGTAGAAGGCCTCCACAACGCGCTCCAGGCCCCCCTGCTTGAGTTGGGGGCCCTCAAAGCCTCGCAGCCGCTGGACGTCCTTGGCCTGCAGTCGGCGGAGCCTAGTGGCCGTGGTCGCATCGAAGCAAGGGAAGTCGCCCGCCATCTGGTCGTCGCTGAACTGGTAGAGGCCCTCCGAGACCTTGAGGGCCTTGGTGAACACGCTCCCCCCCGGCGGGGGGGCTGCGGGGTTCTCATCCTCCTCCGAGGACGCCTGCTCCTTGACCTTCGCCATCAGCTCCCGGCGCCTCTGCCACTTGGCGTCTGCCCGGGCATCCAGGCGGGCCTCCTCCAAGCGGGCTGCAGCCGAGGGGAACCTGGGCATCGGCAGCTCCTTCTCGTCCTTCGCCAGGAGCTCCTCCATGGGCACGTCCTCCTCCGGCGGGTTCAGGAGCTCCAGGAACGCCCCTGGGGGGCGTGTCAGGGCCTTCGGCACCTGCGCCACCCCAGGGGCTGCATCTTCCATCGGCTCATCCTCTGCCTTGCGCTTGGCCGGGATAAGGGGGGCCACAAGACAAAAGATCAAAAGGTCCACTTGAGCCAAAATGGTGGCCCAAGTGGATACTTATTAAGAGTCAAGACAAGCGACCACCTACGGTTAACGCTTTAGCCCAGCCACCTAACCGAACACAAGGTGTGGCTCTATGAACGATGCACAACCCACATGAACGAAAGGCAAGCAATACCTAGGCCCCAGTGCCTGATAGGAGTAAAAACCGTCGAAGCCCGGCATGTCCTGAGCGGCTATCTCATCGTGCTCAATGATTGCTTCGACACTGTAAGTCTTCCGGGCCATGATCATTCTCAGCCGCCTCATGCCTGTTCATTGGAAGCTTCCAAGCAAACACCGATCAACAAGCGCCCATAACAAAGTCGCCCCCCCATTGTGAGCTGTAGGATTTCAGCCTCGAGCGGCTTCTTCAAAGTAAGGGACCCTTTGTTTGGTCAGCGTGCACTACGGTGGCAACATGTTCCAAGCAAACCAAGGCACTGCTAGTTTCACCTGCCATCCTCGCAAACAATCTGGCAAAATCTAATGGGCCCTTGTGAATGGACCCTTCATTTGTCCCCGTATTCCCCTTAGACACACGATGGGCACAGCGACTTACAGTATTGCCTCTCAAAAATTGGGGTAAGGGGTACGCAAGAAGGGGCGCAAGAGGACACATTTTCAGGGTCCATCCACACCCATCCACGAAAACCCACTGGATTTTGCCTGACAATGGGCCCCATCGGTGCTTGCAAAAAATCCGCAAGCCGAGCGGCCATGTCCAAGCCCTTGTCCAGCGCGGTGCTGTGGGCAGCGCCCCAATCCGACATCACGAATCCCTTGAAGCCCATCTTCTGGCGCCTCAGCGACTCGAGCCTCGCCGAAAAACGACTCGCTCAAGCAAGGCCAGAATGGCAAGAGGCAAATGAGCTAAAGCGGCAAGCAACGTAAAACGTTGCATGGACATACACGCAACCCATAGATGCATAAATGCAGCACATGACATACACACATAAGCGCACACACACACAAACAAACAAACACATTCGCGCGCGCGCTCTCGCTGGCTCGAGCCGGGCCAGGCACCACACGTACGAAAGCATGCGCACACACACACGCACACACCCACACACCCACACACCCACACACGCACACCCACACTCCCACACACCCACACACCCACGCACCCACGCACCCACGCACCTACGCACCCACGCACCCACGCGCACCCACGCGCACCCACGCGCACCCACACACCCACACACCCACACACCCACACACCCACACACCCACACACCCACACACCCACACACCCACGCACCCACGCACCCACGCACCCACGCACCCACGCGTCCACACACCCACACACCCACACACCCACACACCCCACACCCACATCCACACCCACACCCGCACGCACGCACCCACACACACACACACACCCCTCAACATTGGCATCTTTCTGAAAGTGGTTTCAAGCAGCGCAGAAAACTAGAAAATATGACCAAATGTAACGATTGCAATGGATGAGACACTGAGGAAAATGTGCTGGCAAATCCCAGGCCGGTGAGGTAATGAGGGAGCTCCCAGATAGACTTAAACCCAGGGGTTCCCCGTTTGGGTGTGAACCACCCCTCGTTTTAAGTCTACTCTGGAGTCAAAAAGTTGAGCCCTGGTCAGGATGCCTAGTGGTTTGCTATCTGTACCATTGCCTCTGCCTGTCAACCACGACCCTACCCTGCCGCCTCACCACAATTCACCGGCCACTAAAAGAAAGAGAACCAATCCCTGTAGGTCTATCCCCAGCGATGCACGTGAGATGCGCGTGAGCCACTGGCATTGAAGAGCAAAGAACATGCTCCTTGAATGGGGCCAATGCCCCAGAGCACTTCCTGAAGTTCCTTGAGGCTAAATCCCAACTTGAACGCTCAAACAACCTTCCACTGCAGTGTGACAGCATGGCAATGTCCAACCAATGGAAAGCAACAGTCACACCACTCCTTGCCAAGGTTGGAGAGAAGTCATACTTGGAGAAGCCGTCTTTGCCACGAGCCCATGCACTGTGTGCTTTCCCATGCACAGCTCCCTCCAAGCCGTACGTCTCAATGCTCATCCCAAACGCCAAGGCGCAGGTCTCGAGTCAGGAGATTGTAGTTGCCACCTTCACAAAAATACAGTGCCCTCGCTCATTCACTCGTGCCACTTAATTAACTTGGATGGCTCACAAATTCCGTCCGAAACCGGCCCCTGTTGGTTCCTGCTAATGTGTGTGATACTTTACAAGCTACAAGTGGCCATGGAAAGCAGACAGATTCTCGGGCTGAGGCTGCGCGACTCAGGGCCCCACAGGCTGGTGTATTGTTCACCCGATTGTAGGAGCACATCACAGATACAGCGCCAGCATCCACGCCAGCCTCGAAGGGTTGGTAGTACACCTCCCACCTGGGCAAGATGAAGAAAAATGGCAACATCCATCCCCTGCCCTCAACGTGGGATATTGCGTACTGAGTCTTTCTTGCAATATTGAGCGGCTTTGTTTGTGTTGTTGGTGCGAACCTTATAGCACATTATGCTGGCCTCCAAGACACAAACCCGCTTCGGCGTCCCTTGTTGCGGGTTCTTCATCCATGACGAGCACGCTACTTGGAGATTTTACCAGGTGCTTCGTGCAAAGAACATCAACAATGTTACAAAGCTAAGGAGCGTTCATTAAATCTCAGCCATGTCGCGCGGTGCGATCATCCACCACAGAATTCACGGTGCCTCGATTTGTCTCTTGCTCGTTGAAAGCAAAATGCTTCCTCAGCCAGAGCTTGCCGCTGCGCTTCTGCAAGTGCAAAGCCCGAAGTTGCATCCACCCCACATGGAACGCAGCCCACCCAAGAAGTAGTTCCAAACTCCCACCCAACAAAACCCGCATTTATGTTTTGTCGCTTTGTTGTCAGCAATGCCACAACGACAAAAGGCAAGCACGAAGGCATACATGTCCAACGGAACGAAGCATGAGAAGCTTCATGCAAGGCAATGCTTTCACATACATACATCTCGCCATGGAACGTAATGAGACCCCTGACTGACAGCAAGGTTGGCACATAGGACCTCCGCCGTGGGAGAACAGCACGGGAGGAAAAAGGGCATGAAGCGCGATGTCAAAACGATGTCTTAACGACATCCAAATTATCCCGAGCCAGCCACCTTTCTAAATGAAAGCAATGAACACTGTATGACCTGCTGCACTTCCCTTGATCTAGAGACCCGATGCCTCAGTCATGAACATGTAATAATTAGCCTGTGGATTCATGGAACTTAGAGCAAGTCTAGCAGTGGAACAGCTGTATAAGCCATGCTCAAGCACATGCCATTCTATCTGGAAAGAAAAAGAGGTATGCACATGACAAGCGCAGCAATACCAGTAAATATTGCATGCTTAGCCCAAACAAATGTGCGCACAAAGACATTCATACCTTTGGCGATACTTGAAATTGCAAAATGCACGCTGCCCTGTTCAACTAGAAGGCAGGGTTTGCATCGAACCACCAGCAAGCTGCATATTGTAGACAGCGAATTGGTACCTTCCAAGTAGCTAGGCTTTTAGCAGGTGAACAGGTCAAGCAAATTGTTGACACTCAATCACAAGCAACAAACAGCAGACTTTGGTAAGGCTGCTAAGCTTGCAATGACCGGCAGTCTACGCAATCAGTACCAATTCATCATCCTTGCTGGTGGTTCCAGCTGAAGCTCGAACATCAACACGTTGAGGCTGCTCAACCCTTGCTATGGGTGCTTCACCATCTTGGAAACAAAGTAATTGGAGAACAGCCAACCGCATCATCTCCAAACAACTGTAGCTTTGGGGGCAGGCCCAGAGTCAAATGGTCATTGACCAATGATAGAAGCTGAACATGTTGTTTCTGACTCTTCAGACCCTTTTCTGGGCTCGGCAAAGCAAGTATATGGCCACGACATAATCCCCACCAAAATGATGTCCACCACCAAAGGGTCCCCCATTACAACTCACAGCCATGTATAACTTATATAACTGCGTGATGCTTCCTTCACTGCTTCCTTTGTTCACTGTCGTCATGCACAAAAAAAGCTTTTCTGGTGAGCATGCTGGCGAGGCTCAGCACTACCATGACGCCTTGACTCTGCACAGCTGTCACAAAGCTCCGCACCAGCCGCGCGCCTAAATAGGGGTCCTCACGGAGAGACCGCTGGGTAATGTCGCGAAAAACGAATCGGATGTAATCTCCTCAAGGACTGGTGCAAACCTCACAAGAGAGCCCGTGTCGATACCGGATGACTTGGGAAACTACAATCCCTGTGTTCAGTTCCAATTCCACAAGCAAGCTGATCGTGAACACCTTGCGGCAGTGTGACCAATGACCAAAATGCATTGGCCGTAGCCCAAATGACACCCCCTGCAAAAGCGTGGCGAACCAGTAACCAACGTCGTTGTTTTTCTGCACAAGCAAAGGCGAACATGACACGTGCTGGGTGTCTTTTTTGTAGAGGAACCCCAAAATGGTGGATCTAAAGGGAAACTAAAAGGACGCCTCACTCCACAAATCAAGATTTCCCCATTCGCCACAGCTCCTCTCCCGGTAGGAACTCAAAGTTTCTACCGCCGAGAGCTGTCCTGGCGAAATCAACAGGGCCGGCCCAAAGCTCATGAATGTGGCGTCATTTTAGCCTTGACAGCGAAGCTGCAGTGAGGGTGGACACAACTCAACCTCTGATCTGATCCCTTCATCTGAAACTTTACAAGTACATGCCTGAAACATGCTTCAAAGGCGTTCGTGAGTTGCAGCCAACGGAATGCTCCCGCTCAAACTGACGCACAGACTGGCGTCCTCACGATATTCACAGCTGGCCCGAGCATGACATTGGCATTCTTGCCTGGCAATGGATCTCAGATTCACCGTCGAGTCCAGGGCCAGTTGACTCACGTCCCCGAGCGTGAAGCTTCGTAAATTGGTGGGGTATATGTCGGTAAAATTGGCTTCAATATCCCCATAAATCATTTTGCACGCAGCGCACGGAGTTGCCAGAGGTTTGAGGCTTTCGCCCAACCTGTGGGATGTGGATGTGCCAGAGGGATCGCTTGCACTGTGTTTTTGAACCCTCACCCCGTCTTTTCATGTACAAGGCTGTCCACTTTTGCTAGTGATGCCAAATGTTGACGACAATGTGGTGCCCATTCAAAACAATTGAGTGTGTACAACAACGATTTCAATGGAAGTTCACGTTCGAACATTTGGGCGTCATTCCAATCTTACGAGCAAACGGAGACGCCGGAAAAGACATGCCGTCCTCCAGCCACCTTCTGTCGCCAGGCCGAAGGCTCCGGTTGAGCGTTGGTTTTTATTCCCTACAAACTTGATGGGACATTATTAAAGCTTCCGCTGACCCTTCCGCATCCTTGCCGTGTGAATCCAATGTTTGCTTCCGCAAACCTTCCGCGGGGCATGTTGTGCTTTACAAGACTTGCTTCCGCGAGTATTGGCGGAGAAAGGAAAGTGAGTGTTTCACCGCAGCCTGTGTGAGCTTGGGCTCTAATCCGCTCCCCCAATTAATGAATGACCCCAATTAATAATAAATGCAAATCCGGGGCCCGGGACCAGATTTCTACTCCACACAATTGATTTTCCATTGCGCCAATACTAAACCAATACTAACGTCTTGGAATCCTTATTAGGGGGCACTTTTGGCAAGCTTCCAGCCTCACTTTTCAACAGGTGGGTTCCTCAATTCCCCAAACGGTTGCTTTCCCAAACATGTCCCCAAAAGCTGTCTTCTAGCTGCGACTGTCTCTCTCCCGTACATGCTGGCTAATTAACCTGCCTGGCTGCAAACAAACAACCAGTAAACTGGTAAACAAATATAATGATACATCAAATTTCCTTATTGAACCGCTTACTCGCGGACCTTACAATTCAATCCATTTCATCCAAATCCTACGTGAACCCTCACATTGTTGGAAAAGCAAAAGAAACCAACCCCAAAAACCCCAATTAAAAAAAAATACATTTTTGGGTGGATTTATTTATAATAGGGGGGGGGGCGTATTTATTAATAGGGGGAAGAGATTAATTATTGGGCTACTGCTGCGCGGGCACTTGCCTGCAAACACGCGGAGCTTCCGCGCGAACCTTCCGCAAACCTTCCGCGAAATCCACCGGCTGTTTTGGTCTTCGTGGCTTGCTGTTGGCAATTGCTCTTCTAGTAAGCGTTGCATTTCTTTGTACACAGCAACACCTTTCTGCTTCTACTGTAATCGTTTCTCCGTGCTTTTCCACGCACGCAAACTGAAACAACAAATTTCGTAGCCACAAAGCTTCCGCAAACCGTCCGCCAAAGAAATGTGGCGCGGTGCACATGTTCAATCATGTCCCCCTCCCTTCTACATAAGCTTGCAGGGGGAAGAAAAAAAAAAACGCGCCGCTCAGTCGCCTGCTCCGGTTCTCGAATTCAATTCCTACGACCAGACCGGCTGAAGTCTGAGACCCGCCTCGGAACTCTTTGGCGATGGCCGCGGCCTGATCAGCCACAGCCTGGCGAGACGTTCAGACTCCACCGCGTCGCCGCGGTGCGATTTCGGTCGCCGCGGGGCGCGAGTTCGGGCGGTGCGCAGGGCGCCTGCTCGTCCCAAGTGCTGGCAAGAGCCAAGGAGCTGGGCCACACAACTGATGTGCCCACCTGCGCTCCGGGTTTGGCGCAATCCCTTCAAGCGGTCCAAGAGATCGCCTGAAAATGACGCGCTGGGATCCGATACACTTGGATTGATCGGTTCCCAATGGAGGCTGTTGGATTGCAGGGAATGGGATGGCTCACATTTAATGCCTATGTGTCTGTCTGGGGCTCAAAACTGCGCTTAGTCACATTGGAGCTCAATGTGTGCGGCTTGTTGCGTCTGGTGGGAAGGATTGCGGGTTTGAAACGCGGGTTCACAATTCACGAGAGCAGGGCATGCGCGGGGCAGGGGGCAATGCTCATAGTTCCATCACGAAAGCACAAGACACGGCAAGCAAAGCATGACGCATTGAACCACGAGAATGTTTGCAAGTCCCCGACAAACACCCGTAGCATTACATGGAAACCCAAGTTGCACCCAGTGTGTGACAAATGTTTACCATCACAAACGGAGCTCAGCCCAAGTACCTCCAAATTCCCGCGTGTTTTGCCTTGTCAGCCTAATTATATTTCCCCATACACCTGAGAGGCTCCATACAGAGCGGATTTTTTGTGCGCACGCTTATGCATTGTGAAGCGAAACGAAGCCCCTTTCCGATTCGCGCGCCATACCTCGACCCTTGTCTTGCGGCCAATAGCCATGAGGTTAGTCCCACAAAATCAGAGTTGAAGGAGTACTAGTAAGCTGCTCATATATTTCATCGCGCGCTTCAATGAGGCTTCATTCTAAGAAGGCTTGGACCAAAGTTGTTCGCTCAGAAAGAGAAAGGTCGGCAAGGTTTGGCTCCAGGGTTTTTCGGACATCATCCAACCGTCGTTTTGACGCCGTTTATGACGTTTTGGGGGTGTCCTTTTGCAAAGTCGAGGATCCTCCCACCCAGCCGGCCATCTCAGGAAAAAGTGTGCGGAAGCCGCCGGCACTGTCCTGCAGCGCTGCAGCGTCGTGAAAGCTACTTCAACCCTCGCACCTCACATCAGCTTCCCTCTAATCGGTGGTTTGGATTGGTGGTTTGGGGATTTGAACCCCTAGTTCTGGTGGAGGTAAATGGGCAACCTTTTCTTAACCAGCAAACAATCCAAACCACCAATCCAGGGTGAGCTGATCAAAGGCCATTGGAAGGATGTGTTGAAAAAAAACAGACTACGAACGTGGTTGGTTTGCAGAAGTGGATACTGATTATCCCTCACGCGGAGGGGTACTTCCTGCTTAGCACTGGGTGTGGACAAGGCAATCTCTTCACCGCTGCAGGGATTGTTCAACCACAGGTATATAGCGCTCTACAGTATTTCACTTTTCCAAAATGAATCTATCAAATCCGTTTTGCGAATACTGAGCTCTCATAATAATCTATGTGTTTCCATATTAGCTATCAACTGAATGCTATGCAATCAACTCACAAACCGCTGTGTCCTGCATCCTTAGCCATGGCACTCCAGCAGAAGGGCTGCCAGCGATATTGCCAATCTGCGACACACTTGACCAGGAGCTCTCTCCAGAAGACGATTGAACTCTGAAGACTGCAAGTCAACAACAGTAGGACACATATGGGCAAGCATCGAAGACGAAGCAACCTGAGTTCCAAGTGAAACTGCCAGGAGCCCCAAATTAGCATATCCCGTGGCGATGACAATCCATCAGCGTAAAACAAAGGTTCACAACAGCAAGGCACAATGCCGAGCGTCTTGTAAGAAATACGCTTGCACACTCTTGACATCTAGCACTCATTGGGCTGTGGGTCAAAAATAGGTACCCAACATGGAACCCTGGAATGTTTCCAGGGTTCCATGTTGGGTACTGGACCAACATCTGCGGTTTTTTTGCTGGTTTAATTTTGACCCACACCCATTGGAATAGATTGCACACATCCAAAATCAACCAACCCTCGGCACGTCTGGGTGCCGCACGTAAAAGCCAGGCGTCAGCTGCCAGTCGGGCCGCCAGCCCACGCCATTCAGCAGTCGCGAACGCTGCCACGGGCTCAATCGTTCTAAGGTCCTCAGCAAAGTCGCACTTGCACAGCATGCCGGAAAGTGCGCAATGAACGGACAAAACATTACATGTACAATATATATATATATATATGTGAGTATATATATATATATGAGCATATATATTATATATATACAGATTATATTCACGATCAACTCGTTCTTGCCCTTTTCACCGGAAGGACCATCCAACGCCCTTTTAGCTGTATGAATCAATCTGCGCTTGGCCGGCGGCTCGTCGGCCAGCTTGTAGGATTCCTCCCAGCTACGGCTGGGCACCTGGCAAGGCGACGCCGAAGCCGAAGCCGACCGGCCAATTTCTGCGAGGCTCGGGCGGTGATTTTCGTTTGGATCTTCATAGCTTCATTCCCCAATGGCCCAACCCTCTCCCCTGCCACAGTAGCGGGCTCAGGGGCGCCAGTGGGTAGAGCGTTTTAGGGATGCCCCGTTTTGGGCCCGTTGAATGGCTGGACTTTCTCTGGGAGAAACGTCATCCTTCCAAATTTTGGGCACCCAGCAAAGGAAGATCCACCATGGATGGCCAAGGGAATACATCATCAGATCAGGTTTCAGGGCCCAACATCTTGCCAACAACCTCGAGGTCGCAAACTCCCCGGCACGGAAAATGCGACATAAGAAGGCGGGAATGTCGGTGGATCACAGCAAATCTGCAAATGTCACGAACTGAGCGGAAGCTAACTCCCCGCAAGCCGACAAGGCATCCATTTAACATTTCTGAACATCCCAAGCGAAGCAAGGCCTTTGCCACCGCCGGGCCAAGCCTTGGAGCGGCGCTGCAACAAAGGACACAAGGTGATGCATGACAGCTGACCACGCCTTGGCACGCCTACCAACGTGTGCAGTTTGATGTGCTTCGTTCGTCTACCTGTCTCTTCGTTGGCTTTCCAAATCACTTTCATTGCTCGCGCGCTTTGCTGCTTGTGTTTCGTGCCCTGAAAGATGTTCACGTCGATGTCTCAGTTCTACTTGTAGCTGAAATCCGACTCCCTCACTGTGCCTCACGTATGCACTGCTACGCTGCCTGAATACTTGCGCAGTTGTATGTGCATGCGGCTCTGTGTATGTGTACGTGTGTGCGAGAAAGAAACTATGCGGGGCTTGCGCGAGTTGACCGGTCGGTCATTCTACCGATGCACTATCGGGTTGGCTGGTTGGTTGGTTGGTTGGTTGGTTGGTTGGTTGGTTGGTTGGTTAAAACTGGCTGCCTGGCCGGCTGATTCATTGGTTGGTTGGCCAGCCAGCATGTCATCGGCACGTTGTCTAATTCGCTTCACGGAGACGTCGTGGCAGCCGAAATCCTGGGTTGCTTGGCGGGTCGCATATTGGCTTGATTGCAGGCTCATTTGCCATATAAACGAATCAACTGGATCAACGATGCGTGCGGCAGGCGCAGTGTTTTTGTTGTTAACTAGGCCTGGTTTTTATAAACCCTGGTTCCACACAATCCTCCCCGTGCACCTAAACTAGATCTGGCGGCATTCTCTGGGGCTGGGTCGTTTAGGCTGGGGGAAGAAGTTGGCCGGGACCTAGGGCTGGCTATTGGCTCTGATTTTGTGGCGCTTGAGAGTTACTTGGGGCTAGCTTCGGTCCAAGCCCAACACTCAAGCCACACCCTCAAGCAACCATAAATATGGCTGGGCATGCTCCCACTTACTTGCGCGCTTGCTGCATCACTTACGCACGCTGCAAGCGTGCCCCCGCCCAAGAGCACGGGCTCAGCACTGCCCGCACGTCTGCCAAATCATAAGCGCGTCAGGCAACTGTGCAGCACTGCGAAACAGGCCTGCCAAATGATAAGCCCCTCGCACAGCACTGCGAATGATAATCGCACACAACTCAAGAGCACATGCAAAGGAATGCAAACATGCATGCCGAATGCTAAGCACACTCGCTCAAATGGTAAGCACACCCGCTCAAGAGCACTGGCGCTGTGCCACCCACGCGTACAAGCGACAAGCCAAGGAAAGTATACAAGCGGCAAACAGCAGATGTGTACAATCGAGGTGCATGCCGCCACTGCTACACCAGCCGCGCAGTTAGAGCAAGACAGCCGCAAGCAACTTGTTAAGAACTCCGCAAAACTCACCGGAAACCAACCCAGGGTTGAGCCACAACCAGGACTAGTAAAAACATGTTTTCGCAAACGTTTGAACGTCGCTATTTGCTCGCTGCGTCGCAGCCAACCAACAAACCATGTGCGAGGAACATTATGGTACTTGTTGCTGTGCGTTGGCCGAGCTTGTGCTCTACAACACGACACCCAAACATTGTTTTACGCCACTGACGGCAAGAATATGTGACTTCCCACCCCCCCCAATTCTTGGCCATGATTCAAAGCCAGGACCAAGATCTGCATGGTGCCGCGCTCTCCATGACAGAAGCTGGAAAATGCCTTGGCCTGCTCTGCTCTGGTCGGTGAAGCCTGTCATAATGTGCTCAGCTTTTCGATTGCGAACCGCCTTGCTTTGAATCACAAGGGTGATCGGCCTTTTATCTTGCTGGTCATTTTGCAGCAATTCATGTCTGGCAACAAAGACATGGTTGCTAGCAGAGATTCACAATAGGAAGCATCTAAAGCTCGTCTCCTACATTATGACAGCTGTGCATTGCTCTGGAAGGTTTGCTCTCATCTTGCTGTCATGCGGAAAAAACCGAGTGCTCGAGGGGCTCGTAAGTTCGTAGCTCTGCCTTTGCCCACACTGGGCTCAAGACAACAAAAATTCATGGCACTGAGCCGAAGCTGCTCAGAAGCGCCGAAGGGCAAACAAGTCGGAGAGTCAATCCACCATGCGTCAAAATCCCGTACCCGCAGTGAACATCCCAATCCCCACTAAAATAGACCAAAATGGGTGGTGCACCTACCCCAAAATGGTACCATTGGCTTTGACCCACAGCCACTTGTGAGAAAAAAATGCTCAGAGGCAAGATTCACAGCATCTTCGACTCATGCTGCATTGACACTTTTGTGCACTGGCCGCTCGGTGCGCACGCACCTGGCGCACAAGCAAGGAATTTGGGGCAAAGGGAATGGAAGACGAGATGCCAGAGCTGTCCGCCTGGACTCAAGAACGTGCGCTAGACGCAATGCTGAGTGGCAGGCAAGCAAGCAAAGCAAGAAAGCAAGCAAACAAAAGAGCAAACAAAACAACAAGGAAACAAGCAACCAAACAAATTTTCGCAGCAGCCAAGTTGTTGGAATGAAAGTTTTTGACAAACGCAACGCATGGAGGCGACGCCACCACACCACCAGCATGACAGCAAACCAACCCCCAACAAAGAATCAAAGCGACGTCGTGACTTTCTGTTGTTCTGTACCATCTCTGGCCGGCTTCAAGTCAGGATGTCAGCTGGCAAAATTTCAAAGTCCAGAGGAAAGTGACATTGCGGGGGGTCTCGAAACAAAATTTGGTTTCCTAGTGGTTTCCTTGAAAGCCACCAAAGGGGGTTCCCCAAAACGTGGCCATTCTGCAGGCCCACTGGTGGACCTCCTGCCTATCGGCCAACCTTCTGCCTTACTGGCAGACCACGCCGTTCGCGCCCGAAGCGCTCGAGCCTTGGTCCAATTTTGGAGCTAAGCTGGTCACGCCTCGTGGAGATCTATACTTGGAAGGCATCTTGGGAACCTTGCAAAGAGGTAGCTGTGATCCGACAGCTACGTATTGCAATAGTTGTTGAGCAGGCACCCCTACATAATTACTTGCTGATGTCGCGCTTCAAGCACATAGCCTCTATCAGTAAAACTCATAATAGAATGCTTCGAACACATCCATTCCTCAGTGACCATTGGGTGCAGGTATGTGCAGGTCACCTACATCCTCAGCGCCATTGGCCGCCAGACTTTGAGGACAATTCGATCTCTCAGGATTGTTTCGTCCAGGGTTCTCTTTGAGATGGGGGTCAAAAAAAAAGAAGAAAAAAAACGTACCTCAGAATCGGTTGCCATGGTACACGGGGGCCGGACGAAACCCTGCGGTTCCCAAACAGGGCTCCGAATCCCACGCTGGGCCACGCACTCCGAGCCCCGTAGCCGGATGCGCCCGAAATCCGAGGGCTCCAGCTTCGCCTCGTGGACGTTTTGCTTTGAATACCCCTTTTTTTGGGGTTGGTTTAAAGCAAAGCCAATGGGAAAACCACCGATGTTCATCAATGTTGGGGGTTAATTTACAGCAACACCGCGGGGACAACCACCATTTTCGGGGGAAATCCTCCGAATCACAAAAGACACATCCAAATAGCTGTGGCTCAAGAATAGGAATCGGAACAAAATGGGTTGCCCTGGCAAATGGAAGGACTAATGCGGTCTGGATCTTGGCTCTCAAATTTTCAGCCGCAACCAAATTGCGCAATTGATCCGTACATACTTGATTGTCGGCCCGAAGCAAATGCGTGCGATGAATTATTCATGACCGCGGTCTTTTGTGTGTCTCTTCTCATGCGAGGACCACCCCTTTTCTGATGGGCCTTGAGGCCAAACTCGTCCCGCAGGATGCTGAGCGCCATGGTCTCCAACTGCGCGTCCTGTTCAAATCCCAACGCTTCAAGGGGAATCCCAGAGATTCGTTGCGGCCAAAGGAATTTCTTCCAAAGAGTTGTCAAAGTCAAGCAAGTCCAGCTGTCCAACTTGCAATATCAAGGGAAAGACAGATGCCTCTCTGCGGACGCTTGGCAAGTGTGCCTGGTATTTGGGAACTCCAGGTTTTCGAGTGAGCACCTTGCATCCAAACAACAGCAATGGCAAGTCCACTCAGTAGGTTTGCAACACCCGTGAATTGTTGCCACATGAGACCGGCTCAGCTGCCACACTAGGCGCCCAGCGTGCATGGTGGTCTTCCCAGCTTTTCTGCCGACCTATGCAAGTTGCATGCAAAGAGCCGCCATTGGCAGAACGGTTGGAGCCTTGTGAGTGTGAAATGGGATATGACATGTGCTGACACTTGTCCACAAGAATCATTTGTGCACAGGAGTGTTGTCTGGTTAAGTTTTGTTTAATTTTCTGGCGGTGACTGCGTTTTATTCCTGTTAGCGTGACCAAAGGCGGCAACAAAAGAGCACACTGTCTTCATCTCTCTGTGAGCCAGCGACTGTCCCTGCCCGCTGTCAAAATGGTCACATTGGACATATTCTCAGTCAAGGCTTGCTGCAGCCAAACTCTGGAAATCGGAAAGAACGAACCGAGGGATCTCAGAATGACCCAAATCCTATGAATTGCATTTTGCTGTCGCAATCAAACATGACCTTTTTCCAGGGTGGCTGTGCCACCCTCAAGTGTTCAAACTAAAGACGACGTAATTTTGAGAAGCTGCCAAACACAAACCTCCTTTCACACATTGCTTGACAATAAATATGAGTTCACCCTCGCACCCGTCCACCCTCTGCAGCATTGGCGTTTGCCCCAATTTGGTGCCATTTCGATGCATGACCCGCAGCTGTTCACCTCCAATTTCTTCTACCGGTGAAGCGGCCTAGCGGCACTAGCCCTTGATGAACACTGGTGCTTGAGAAAGGGACTTCTGCACTCCGGCAAACGCCTGCTGCTCTCTGGCTATCTTGGCCACCACACCAACTCGCCCGCACGGTCGATGACGGCCACGCGGAGGATGAACTCAGGCGATCGCACGGTACCCCTGGAATGAAGACTTGGACCGTGTAGGAGTCCAAGGCACAAAGATTGGATCACTGGATCTTGTGGCTGTTTCTCGACGAGCATCCGGATCTTCGACTGAAAACTTGTTGACTTGCTTGCCTTTGTATTTGTTCTCATGGTCTCATGGCTGCTTGAATCTGCACTGTGGGTAGCCCTTGATGCTGGAAGCCAAGGGCTGTGGGAAGCATCTTTGACAGGGTGAGAGATCAAGTCGGGAGCTAAAGTGGGACGTGGGTACAGTTGAGACATGTCCAAAACAAATATCAACGTAGTGACAGCTTCACAGCCGGAAAGAGGTGAAAACAGGTGTCCGAACGAGCAATCTCGCAGACTGTCCGTGAGCGGAGATGGGGCGCCACGCCGTCGCCACGTCAATCGGGTAGTCCTTAGAGAGAGCTCCGAAAGTGACCTGCTTGCAACAAGAATCTGTGGTGGCTGTCATTGACACCCTGGCCATGCAGCTACTGAAAGATTGGCAACAATCGGCCTGTGTGATTGAAGGTTTTTGCTTCTTACAAAACAAACAGCATGCATGTTTGTCTTGCGTATTCCAGACCTCACGACCACCAAGCATCGTTAAACAGAAACTAACATGCTAGCCGCTATATGATTTGACTCCTTTTCCGGCTTCCACTCAGCAGTGTCACCAGAGTTTCCTGTGCGCCTTTGGCACCACAGGGCAAACCTGGGGCCACGCGCGTAGATCGCCAGGTTCACCCCGCGATTCGAGTAGCAGTTCAGCATGCCCTCCCTGAAGGCCTCTCGCGGCGCCCCGGCCAGCGCTCCGGTGGTGCCCCGTCTTAAACCCTGAGCCCATAGGAAGGGTCCAAAGGAAAATCTGATGTTGGCCTAAGGAAGGGTCCGATGGCAATTTGGTTGGCACCGACCCTTTTTCAACCCACAGACTTGTCCAGCCCACGTGTCGCCGCTCTCCGGCCGATTACATCCCGTCCATTGGCCACTTTCCAGATTGAACTGAAATCAGCCAGCCCTGACCTCTCCAAACCCAGAAGGTCCAGCATGCAGCTTCCAAGTTTCGCTCTCCAACCTCGTCCGGCTCCCATCTCCCTGTTGCACCGAAGTGATCCGTCTAGCTAGTGCAGGAGCTTCTTCATTCTGTTCAAGAATATACTGTTGTCCGTTCTTCGGCTTCCATTTTATCTTGCACTTCCGCATGCTTCTGCCACTCCCCACTTAGAACAAAAACTGAAGGAATGCCATACGTCCAACACACCATTACTCGACACTTTCAATCACAACAACTTGCAATACATGTTCAACGCACACGTGCGTTTCCAACAGCCAAATGCAGATTTCACGCAAAATTTGACTGGATGCAAGCCTCGCTTGTCTAGCCAGAAGCACAATAAAGCGCACATGTTCGTCAACAAATAAGCAGATACTAGAATGGAATGTTCAGGAATCCCGCGTTTCTTTCTCCGGAACCGCCTTTCGGTAGACCTGCCGCGCTCGCTTCTCATTTTCCTGCAAGATGAAGGAGTGCAGCACCTCCGGCTCAAGTTGACGAGCATTGCGTTCCAGAAGCACGGCGCACGGCTTCTCAGCGCCTTGGTGTAGGTCTCTTGGGTGGGCAGCATCGCGCGCTTCTTCATCTGGCGCCGCCAAAACGTGCTAAGCTGAACCAAAGCGCGTGAATAATTGGGGTGCATTCAAGGAGTCATTGGATTATATACGGGGTTTGACATGTAGGGAAGGCCTCATAGTCAGAACTGGGCCGCGCACATTTTGACCATTCCCATTGGTAGCTTCAGGAATCAGCTGCGCTGAATCCCCACGCTTGTCACGCTGGCAGCAGGTACTAGAAGGCGAAATCGAAATACCAAAACTCTATATAAATGCCCCAAATGAATTGGGAGGGGCGCGAATCGAAGGCTCTCCCAGCAAGCCTCCTCAAATAGACTTTCCGCGTGGTCGATGGGAGCTCCTGGCCGGAGCCAAAGCAGCATGGCGTATCAGCCTCTCAAGAGCCAACCACTGAGAATTCAGCCGCGATATGGGACTGGCAGTTCGCAAACGGGAATCTATTTGAGCACATAATGTCTGCCTAGCCATCCTAGCCGTCGAGGGCTAAGCATGCCCAGGGCATTTTTGCGCACAACCGTCGGAGCGAGCAACCGCGTGCACGCGTGGTGCAACCGGCAAAACCGGAGATCCAGGGAAGAAGGCACGTCTGCGTCGGACGCCATCCCCACCCAGTCCCCAGCTCCCCAGCTCTGAGTTCCTGGCCACTTTGCACTGCCGACTGCTCAGCCCAGCCCCGGTAGCATTCGCTCAAGCCCGCATTGTCCGTATGGGTCTTTTGAGCCTGGCCAAGGCCTGCCTTGCAGCGTGAAGCATCATAGACCCCCCCCGATTGCAGACAGTACCTTCTCCCCCGACTGGACTGCCAGCCGGCAGTACTTTGAAAAGGATCCACAAGCCAACGCTAGTCTCACAGGGTGCTTTTCCAAAAACGAAAGGACAACCTAAAGTCCTAGAATGAAGCCGCTCCACCAAGTTGTTTCTCCTCCTCACAAAAGCGGGGCTGCAGTTTAACCTGCAACGTTAGTGCTGTGTCATTAGTTTCTCTTCAAACCAATGCCTGCTCGAAACGGCACCGCCTCTTTTTGCTGACACATAGAGAGGTTTGCTTTAGTCATGGTAAATGTCCCTTCATCTGCAAGCTGAACCATTGCAAGGCGCTCCTGAGCCCTCGCCCGCATCCATGGCCAAGTGGTAGGCAGCGTGATCGGGCGTGAGGCCCTCTGCCTCCATTTCCTCAGCTGCGAAACCTGGATGCCATGTCTGGGACCGTTTTGGAGTCGCCGACGGATCACCAGGGCTCCTGGGACTGCCTCCCTGAATCTCTACGGCACCTGTCGGTCGCCTGGGATGCTGGCCTCTAAAAGCTTCTTCGCCTCCTGCCAGTCGGTCGCCTGGGATGTGACACAAAACGCTGACTGAGGAAACACACGTCTGCCATGGGCTGTGGCGTAGCCACCCTGTGTTGAAGCTTATAGGCGTAGAAGCCAGGTGAGGAAGCTAAAAGAAGAGGGTTTGTTCTACTGCACACCGCGCGGGCATCTTCACGCAGAGACAGCGGAGTGCTCGCCTCCTTTTTGGGTTTGTAGTGAGCAAATTCCACACCACCTAACTGCTACAACGAGGCCAGCCTAACTGAAGCAAAACGTCCGTTGCGACAAGCACTTCTGTGGATAAAACCAACATAATCATTGGTACTCCTTCGGCTTGCTCACTCACTCCTGAAGAACAACATCTCTCAGCATGAATCATGATTGGTGACCCTCCTAGCACCCACCTCGTGCACCCCACTATCAATGCCTGCCCTTCTATTGATATTGCCGCTGGACACCCGCATAGAATGAAACTCCGTTGAAAAAACAAAACAAAAAACAAGAAGCTCAGCCATAAGTCAGCTGCTCTCCGAGCGCCCGGACATTGGCGCTGACTCCGAGGGCGCCATGCCAAACTTTCATCGCCTGTGGCTTTTCTCGGGATGGCAATGTCATACCTTGCGCTTTTGGAAGGGCTAATGATAACAACATCTGCGCGCGCTCTTCTCTGGCATGCAGTTCGCAACATGCCGTCCACCCTTCGCTGCAACCGATTGAGCTTGATGGTTGGAGTGCTCTGTCTCCTTAATGCAGGTAGCGCTAAATTGACTCTGAGGGCCCCGACCAAGGGTAGGTCCTTCTGTTTCATCTCTTGCATGAGTTCTCGTGCTTCTGCTACCTGGCAGGAGACACAATTCACTTGGCCTTGGGCTCGATTGACAGGAGCAAGAATGCGAGAACACTGAACCAAACTAGCAGTAGCAGTTTTGGTAACTATGAAAGTAGCGGAAGTAGTCGTACTAGTGTTGGTACCAGCAATATAGGTAGTAGTAGCTGCCCGAAATGTGCAGCAGGAGTGGTGGTCGCAGCTGCGGTTCTTGCAGTCTGGAAATTGGGGCAGCGGAGGCGTCGTGCCAAAGCAAGTGACAAACGTCGTCACACAAAGCAGAGTCTTAACTTGAACATTCCTGTTTTTCGGTTTCTGATATGGTAGTGCCTCCGAGACAGGTCAGACCTGCCGCCGCTGTCCTTGGTTTCTTGGTTTGCTTTTTGATATACATGCTTCCTGGTGGCTTGCTTGCATGCGTGCTTGCCAATGTTTGTGTGCGCGCCTGTCTGTTTGTTCGCTGCTTCTTTGCTGTCTTCGCGATTTTCGTGTTTTAGTTTGCTCGCTTGCTTGGTTCCTGTTGCGGTGCCCTGCCGATTCGTTGTGGTTGATTGTTAGGTCTAGCATTTGCGGTGGCCTCTCGTTACTCTGCGGCAACTGTTCTGCACCTGAACCCAGCCACCAATGGCCGCGTTGCCTCATCACAAAGCATCATCCTAGCCACATAGTCGTCGATGGCAAGCTCCTGCTGCTGGCACGCATGCCGTACAGTGAGCACACAACACTGTAACATAGACTAAACTTGAGAACCAAGGTGAAAAAGACATAAACACTTGTGCAAATGGTGGTGAATGCAGTCCCTCACAAAGATTCAACCATGACACCCATTCCTGAAATCCCGGAAATCCACACGTCACAAAGGGGCGCATCTTGCAATTACAATCCATTGCCCCTAGATGCCTTACCCATTGCCAAGGCCCTGGTGTAACTTGGAGACAACACTTCAACATTAGCAATGCACCACATAATTTGATGAAAGCCTTACGCAGGATTCAGAGACCAGCAGAATGAGCATGACCCTACATTTGATTCATCAACCCAGGTTTCAGAGAACCCCTCAAAGAGAAACAGCCGAGAACAAAAAGAGTTTGGAGCAAGCATTCAGACTAGTTTCTGGGAGTAAGTGAATAAGCGCTCAAGACCTATCATTCATAGCAAATCGTCAACATGTTCATTTTGGGAAAGTACTTACCCTCCCTCCCCCAGGCTAACATGGAAGCGTGTGTGTGTCGGTGTGTCGGTGTGTCGGTGTGTCGGTGTGTCGGTGTGTCGGTGTGTCGGTGTGTCGGTGTGTCGGTGTGTCGGTGTGTCGGTGTGTGTGTGTGTGTGGTGTGGTGTGTGGTGTGCGTGTGTGTGCGTGGGTGCGTGGGTGCGTGGGTGCGTGGGTGCGTGGGTGCGTGGGTGCGTGGGTGCGTGGGTGCGTGGGTGCGTGGGTGCGTGGGTGCGTGGGTGCGTGGGTGCGTGGGTGCGTGGGTGCGTGGGTGCGTGGGTGCGTGGGTGCGTGGGTGCGTGGGTGCGTGGGTGCGTGGGTGCGTGGGGGCGTGGGTGCGTGCGTGCGTGCGTGCGTGCGTGCGTGCGTGTGTGTGCGTGCGTGCGTGCGTGGGTGGGTGGGTGTGTGTGTGTGTGCGTGTGTGCGTGTGTGTGCGTGCGTGCGTGCGTGCGTGCGTGCGTGCGTTCGTGCGTGCGTGCGCGTGTGCGTTTGCGTGCGCGTGTGCGTGTGGGTGTGTGTGTGTGTGGGTGTGGGTGTGTGTGTGTGTGTGTGGGGTTTCCTTGTGTTTGTGTTTTGCTGTTTTTATTATTCTGTGTGTTGTGTTTGTGTGTGTTCTTTCTTTTTGTTTGTGTGTGTGTGTTTGTGTGTGTGCGTGTGCGTGCGCGTGTGCGTGTGGGTGTGTGTGTGTGTGTGGGTGTGGGTGTGGGTGTGTGTGTGTGTGGGGTTTCCTTGTGTTCTTGTTTTGCTGTTTTTATTATTCTGTGTGTTGTGTTTGTGTGTGTGTTCTTTTTTTGTGCGTGTGTGTGTGTGTGTGTGCGTGCGTTTGTGTGTGTGTGTGTGTGTGCGTGTGCGTGTGCGTGGGCGCATGCGTGCGCGTGTGCGCGTGCGTGTGCGCGTGCGTGTGTGCGCGCGTGCGTGTGTGCGCGTGTGCGCGTGGGCACGTGCGCACGTGCGCGCGTGGGTGCGTGCGCGCGCGTGGGCGTGTGCGCGCGTGGGCGCCTGTGCGCGTGCGCGCGTGCGCGTGTGCGTGGGTGGTTGGGTGGGTGGGTGGGTGGGTGGGTGCGTGGGTGGGTGGGTGGGTGGGTGGGTGGGTGGGTGGGTGGGTGGGTGTGTGTGTGTGTGTCTGTCTGTCTGTGTTTTCTTTTTGTGTGTGTGTGTGGATGAGTGTCTTGTTGTGGCTTTTCTCTCTCTCTCTCTGTGTGTGTCTGTGTCTGTGTCTGTGTCTGTGTTTGTGTTGTCCTTGATTCTGTTGATGTTGTGTGTGTGCTGCGGTGAATCTTGAACATTCTCCTGAGGGTTCCTCTTTGCAGAAGGCCCAGCACCTGATTCGTATTACCTGCTACTTGTTCCTCTACTGGTGCTGGCAATTCTGCACCAGGCACCGGTACCTTTGTCTCTACCACCATAGCGAGAACATCACAATTGGTTGAACTACTCAGAAATGGCTTTGGCCCGGAGACTGGACTCCTCCTCTGTAGGGCCAGCCTGCGCGGCATGCAAAGGATGAGCAACGAGGGCAAGCAATTCATGACTTTTCGACGCCCATGCAAATGCGGCAGACCTTCCAGCGAAGGAGCTTGGCCATATACGAACCGAAGGACAGGCAAAGCAATCAATGGAACTGCTTTCACCATATGGAGAAAAAACGCTGCCATGTCGCGAGACATAAAGTGATAGGGCGACCCTTTTGGACTCCAATGCAAATCGCTGCCCCCGGCCGGGCGCTTCCATCTAGGAGTGCCGAAGATCGGCGCCGACGCCCTGAGTTTGGCTCCAAACCAGACCGACCCCGCACAGGTCACATGTCGAAGCTGAAATATGTCTAACGTGTCGCAAGCCAAAAAGTTGAAGGTTCTTGAGTTGCGAGGAATTCACCCCATTCAACACTGGAGACATCAGACCGAGGTGATCAAGAATGGCCTGCGCTCATGACAGGTTGTCAACCCAACCACAAAAATGAACCCGAAGAAGCACCCGAGCTGCGCTGGAACCCACATGCAGCTTGCCAGCGCTCTTACATCTCTGTCTATGTGCATAAATACGTATTTACATACGGCGTACCATATAGATATGGGTATGTGTTTTTTTTTGACGTGGCCGCGCCGGGAGGTTGGTGTAAGGGGTATGAATCGCAGGTATGGTTCGGGGTATGGCTCGGGGGTATGAATCGGGGTATGGATCGCGCGCCTCTGAACTCTTGCTTTGTGGCTTTGGACGCTGCAAAGCTCCCGTGCGCTGGCAACTGGATGGCCGTGAGAATTTGGACCGCTTAGTTGCTACAAGCCAGCCTGGGGCGCTTGTGAGTGGCCTGAACTAGACAGCTGCCACTCTGCGTGAGTGGGTTAGCGAAAGCTTCTGCGCTAGGTGGAAGGCGCAGAGCCACTGCCTGAGGCGAACGTCATGGCCACCTCCACTTGGAGTTCAAGCGACCCGCGTGCTCACAGACCCAAGCAAGCGCTGCCCAGTCAGGCCCGCCACCTGCACCAGTCACGAACCAGCGTAAGGGCAAGACAGCGTGACATCCTCAAACGGCAGCCGCGCAGAGGCTAGTGGCCGTCTCACAGGTGGTGTACCGTGTCGCGCTTGGTACATCGCAGTAAGCCTTCCGAACCCACCTTCTGGCGAACTTCTGCAAAAAAAGCGGCGAGCTGGTTCCTGCAGCGCTTCTCTTTGAGTTTTGTGTCTTTTGAGGATTTGGGCGGCATAGCTTCGCTAGTACTGCCCAGAGCGCAAGAGGCTCTTGGCTGCAAATGGCAGCAGAAGGGTATGAATCGGGGTATGAATCGGGTATGAATATGAATCGGGGGTATGAATCGGGGGACAGATTTTTTTCGACCGGAAAGACACCAAGAGTACCCCAGGAGCACAAAGACAGCTTGTGTTTCACTGCGACAGTGGCCCAGGACAGACAGCTGTTTCCACCGCGTCGGACAGACTGCAGGAAGCAAGCTCCAAGTTTCAAGCTCAGCAGCGGCACCCCCCGCCACAGCGCCCTGCAAGTCCCAGCGTCTTACGTCAAGCTGCACCCCCGCCACAGCACCACGGATGCTACAGACAACTCTAGTACCAGGACATCCGCAGGATTGCTCTATAACTCCATCCATTGGCACTTTCCATTGAAAATAGCAAGCCGAGACCGAGCCGAGTGTCAAGGAACACCACTTGAGCCAAAATGCCCCCCGCCACGAGTAACCAGTGAGTGTGTGTGAGTGGACATGCCAACATGCAAATGCCACAGTTCTTGCAAGTTCATTTTTTGTGTTTTTAAGGGGTATGACTCGGGGTATGGCTCGGGGGTATGGTTCGGGGTATGATTCGGGGGTATGGCTCGCCCAAGCCCCACCTCCCACGAAGACTAAAGAACTGACACGGTAAAAAAACACAGACCCATATACACATTATACATTCATGGGGAACTTAGCACGTTAAGTGTCGCGTTATGTCGCGTTATTCTGGCAAATCCTGCTTGCGCTGCCCTGCGCATTGAGAAAACTCAACCCATGAGAAAAACACTATGCCGATTGCAGTCGCTGCGCATCAAGGCTCCTGCGGTACAGGTCCTGCCCGTATCTTCTTCCTGGGCGTGGTCTTTCAGCACAGCTCTCGAACGTGTGTGCTACTGGCACTTCTGCAGAACACCGCGCCTGTGCACCTTTTCTCTTCAAAGCTGAGGCAGAGAAAAAGATCACGAGCTCTTGGCCAGCCGCTCCGTCAAACTGCCCCAAATCCCATACCACATGCCCCACACCTGCTCCAGCTCTGCCAGCTCAGCCACCTTGCTGCCGAGGCACAGCTTCCGGAGCCTTTCGTAATCCACCTGCCATGTGACATGGAAAACAACTGCAATCCAGATAATGGAGCCCAACTACCAGGTCACAAGCGCAATGAACCCGCATGTTCGTGACAAGCTTCGAAAATGACTCACACGGAAAAGGCGCAGAATGGGTCTTTGCATGGATGGTCCTCGAGATGTACAAGCAGAAGTACTTTCTGGTTGCGTCTCTTGGCTGTCAGGGAGAGGAACGACCGTTTAAAAAAACCAATCATCGGAAGGATGTGCCACACCCTCTTTCTCCCTCATTATTCCGCGCGGCTGCATCGGGAAGGTCTTCGAACAGGCGCACAAATTCAAACAAACGAGCTGCGATAGAAACAAACAAATTGTTCTTGATTGTCCGGTGCACTTGTTGAATTATCGGCAGAAACCCCATGTTTGCTATTTAATCGTGTTGCACCAAGACAAACATGTTGCGCGCATCAACATACCAGCAATGTCTGGCAGAGCCGGGCGACAAAAGTTTTGAAATACATGGCCTATAGCTTGGAGCGCCCCTTTTATCCTTCTTTCTTTCTCTCTTTCTCTTTCTCTGCTTCTCTTCGTGCTGCCAACCAGCGCAGCCGTGGTGGAAAGTTCTCCGAACCCGTTCCGCACCCGCTCCAAGACCGTCTCTGTATAGGCGTCGCGACCGAGGTGGTTTGCGCACATGTGGAAGAGCCGAACTCATTGACAGGGCCACGTTTCCAGCCCACTTCTGTTCTCCAGTTCTCGCATTTCCAGGTGTGTCGCAGCTTCCGCATGCACAATGCATGTAGTCTTCAAGACCACGCGGAGGTGCATGCATTCCTAGAGGGAGCTAACCGCAAGCATATATACAAGCAGTTCCAGTACGGAACTTCCTTCTAAACTTCCTTTGACTATCTAAGATCCTTCGTTTTTCGTTCAGCCTTGGCAAACCACCATGGCACCAGCCTTGACTCACACTTTGAAGGGCTCTCGAAACTCACTCGAGATTCCCAAATCAAACCAATACGCTTGCTTGCAATACGCGCAAGCCAGAAACAGCCCCAATCATTTTTAAGAAACAAATCCATGCGCCATGACACCGAGGATAGGCCCCTGCGCCAGCAAACTTTCAAGGCCCCTGCGCCAGCGCGTTTCACGTCACCGCGCCTTAGCAACTTCATCCCTGGCAAGGTCAAACTGTGTGAGTTGTGGGCCAGTTTTGGTGGTTTAAAGCTATGCTCCAAAACGAACCGACTAAACGAGAAACTAAGGTAACCACATCCCTAAAGCAACCCCAAAGGCACCGCTTAGCCAGCAGCACACCCAACACAAATTACACCAGCTCCAAGCCAACCCCAAATCTACACAAAGTCAACCCTAAACCCGCCCTTCGCCTAAATCAACCCCAAACCACCCCAGGACCCACCCTCATGAAGATCTAAGCCAGCTCCCAACTGCCTCCCAATCAGAGCCGACAGGCAACCTCTGGGCCGAGTGAGGCTGGTGACGCCACGGCAAGCCAACCAACCAACCAACCAAACCAACCAACCAACCCAGCCCTAGTACACAACCAGCCCTAGGAAACAAACGCAGGATTCGGGACGGCACCCGCCTCAAAAAGTGCGAGAAGCGCTTGAAAGGCGCAAGTAACCACCAAAGTGAGAACAACATGGCGAAATCTGCCCCGTGTGTATGCACCAAAATGGGCAAAATTGACAATTTGGTGTTCACATCCTGACCACTTGCGTGTTTGTTCACCCTGACTTGTGCTCAATGCCCTGAGATTTGAGTCGTTGGGCCCAAAGGCTGAAGTAGATCCTTTAGCCAAACGAAAACTAAAGGCAAGGAACCTAGCTCCAACCAATCAAAGTTGACTCTTTGAAGGGGAACTCAACCGATTTACTCATTGTCAAGGTCCAAACCAAAATATGACATACCCTCGCCGAGCGCCATAGACTGCTCATTTTGGTTCTCAACCCTTACCACATTACAGAATCCTTCCAGATAATCCTGAGCCTCACGCACATCTGGTGTTCGCCAGCCCTGGCGCACGAACAAAAAGGCCGCAAAAAGCGCAGACTGGAAACGCCAAAAGCGCGCTGCAAATCAGCTTCCCTCTAAGTGGTTTGGATTGGGGGTTTGGTGGTTAAGGAGGGGCTTCCCATGAACCCAAGGCAGCCCCCAACGGGTTGCCTGAGCGATGACAAAACGAATCCTCCCAAGCCAATGGAAAGCGCCAACCCTTGGAAGCGGTTCGCAGCTTCTGACGACCGTTCGAAGCTTTGCGGCTGAATTCGCTGGTCTTCCAAGGAACGTGTTGTTCACGGGCGGGTGTGCCGTGTGGTCATTGTGGTACTGCTCTGGCAAGCGCTCGCGGCCAACAAAAAATAAGGTGCACCTTCGAGGCAACTGTGTCGTTTCTTTGTTGCGATGTCTTGCTTCTGATTGCGGTGAGCTTTCCCACTTCGTCAATGCAGGCATATCAAAGCAATCGCAGCGAGTCCATCCCCATCATCGGTTGTCGCAAGGCTTCATCACCAAAAGCTGCACCACACATGCTGTGCATTTGGTTCCTCACATGAGCAAGAATACCAATGATTCCAATGCCACCAGACCTGGGATCCACAGCCTATGTGCGGATTGTGACTGTGCACCCGTTGAAACCGTCGCCAGGGATCTAGGGCGGTTTCGGCGGAAGAAACTGAAGCTCTGACAGGATTGAGCCCGGTATAAAGACGCCCTTGTCGCAGCCAACTGCCAACCAATTCAAAGGAGCCGCAACCCCCCCCCCCAGCAGCAACACACCCTGCGAGAACAAAACGGTAACCGTGGAAGATAGAATTGCTCAAGCTGCTGCCATTGCACTTTTGCCATGATTCTTTTCAGATTCTTGGGGCTGCTGCTCCAAGTTTCCCAAACAAACGACGGCCAGCTAAACATTCCGACCAATGCATGGCTCTCCCCGCTTGACCACACAGGCGTCAGGTTTTTGACCAGCGAGTGGCGAGGTTTGGAACAAAAATGAGGCGGGCGGAAGGAGTTTCACAAACAACTAAAAAATGGGAAGGTTCCGAAAGCCTGGATGACTTCAGGCAAGGGAGGGCAACAGAGTGCAACAAAAACAGAACACAGCTGTCTCAGTGGAGATGCAGCTCAGCAATTGCATTCACCATGCCGGATTTTCTGTGCGGCCTTTGCACCAGCTCGGTGCCATCTTGGTGGCAAATACTTGGCATGCCTTGTTGCGGTGAGCTTCAAGATGGCTGGCCGTTCCACTGACACCGGAGTGATAATCCCTCGTTGACATGCCCCCCCCCCCCAACCCCCCACCCCCCGGCCCAAGAGCAACAAGCAAACATTGCGAGTGTGATTGCAGTGATGCATATAACATTGCCTTCGAAAACTCATGCATGGCCACGGCAGTCACGCCCAAATGGCCCAATGTTACCGTGAAACCCGAGAGGGCATGTGAATCCGACGGTGAAACTGGACATGTACCAGCCTCGCAAAAACAGGTGGAGGCGACCAGGACCTCGGCTACATCAACAAAATGCTCAAATTGACGGCGCCAAACGAGACGTTTGGATGATGAACAGCGTGGAAAGTGACAGGATAGAGTGCAGGCGCTCTGGAGATTGAGATCTGTGTTCACGCACAGTGCGTCAGAACATGTCGAAAGTGTGACAAGGAGATGAGATGTACACTGGCAAAAGGTACAGTGATCTCGACACACGCCAGGCTTAGAATGGCCTCCAAAGCAAATCGATGTTGGCTTTGGAGAATGTTGGGTCTACCTAGACTGTGCTGGCAGTGAGAGTCATGCCTGTTGGGTCTACCATAGAGTGCATGCTTTAATTGCAATCCAAGAGAACACCAAACAACCATGCTCAGGGGACCTCACAAATAGAAGGAAGCCTGGCTGATTGATTGCTTGCTCATAGTATCCTGCTTCCAGACTTCAGGCGACGGCTATGAAGGACGCGGCGACGACCAAGTGCAGCAGCCTTGCGTAGGCGGAAGCTCACTTCCTTCCAAGTAGCGGCGCATCCATGAGGCTGGATTCAGGATCGGATGATGTTGGGCACACAGCTTCCAGAAAATGAGTTCAGATTTCGTTCATTCCTCGGCAGTGGGGCACGACACCGAGGAGTTCGAAGCCGCTCCGGCCGCTCCGGCCGCTCCGGCCTGGGTCTGCCTCAAGTCGCAAGGCGCAAGTCGCAAGTCGCACAGACCGCCCGCTTTTGGATCGCAATCTGCATGGGACCACAGCAAAATCACACAAATAAGCTTCCTTCTAGCTGTGACCGTTGTTTGAACTTCTATCTTTTTGTGGGAAGCAGTGCAGTTTGGAAAAAGGGCCTGCCAAACACCAAGCTGAATACAAGGGGTTCATGAGAATTACCTCGTCACATGCCCGACAACAAAGATGCAATTCAGCCATAGACCCCTGACTAATACGCCCCCAATGACTGTCCTGAACCCACAAAATGTGGAGAGCCTCATCCAATTAGGCACCCAGAACCCTAGAAGACGGCCCCCAAATTCCAAACATCAGAGAAGCACAATCTCAAATCAAGTCAATCTCATTTCCCTTCATAATATTACGGGTTGCTTCTCCAAAAACCGATCATGTTCAACGAAGAAAAACAACAAAAGCTGGTCGGATTTTGCATCTTGTTCAGCCAAGGTTTGATAAGATCATAGCGGGAGCTTCCTGCAAGTCCCCCCTAATGATTAAAAAAAAAAAAACATCATTAATCCTGGCACTCCCCAGCACTGGGAACAAACAAACCCTGTTATTTTCCTCTTGATGTCCCAATGGTCAAACACGCAGGAAGGGAGCCTGTGTTGCCAGCAAGAGCAGAGAAAACAGGTAGGACTCCAAAGTGAAAATATGATGCTGGGCATGTTGCTGCTGTATCGTGTTTTAAGTGCCTCAAGGCTTGATTGCAAGCGCTGGCGATGTTTCTGCTGTATCTTGTTCTCTTTTTGGATTCAACACTCACGCTAGACACCTGTGGGGCTGCCTTTCGGGCACGAAACCTGCCCGTGTCTAGGCTTTTTGAGTGGTCCGTGTTTGTGGGCTTCGAGGCTCACTTACAAGCAATCCGTTTGGTCATGCTGGGGAGGTTGAGGCTCGCTTACACGCGGTCCTGCCGGTCATGCTGGCGATGCTGCTGCTGCATATCATGTTCATTTCTATAGGATTCCGCTAGTTTGCGCTGCTTTCCCGGCACTCGTGCCTACGCTTTTGAGTGGGGGCTTCGAGGCTCGCTTGCAAGCGATCCCTTTGGTCAAGCTGGGGATGCTGCTGCTGTATTATATTGTTGCAGCGGGACAGCTGGCGACGCTGGCGATGTTGCTGCTGTATCTTATTCTCTTTTATGGAGGAGTCAAAGGAGAGGTTGGACACTGGTTGGCTGGGCACTTCGGCTTGAAGCTTGCCTGCGTCTAGGCTTTTTGAGGCGTCCTTTTCGGGGGCTTCGAAATTGACGTGCAAGCGATCCGTTTGGTCATCCAATTGTCCTAGGAATTCTCGAGCAACCTCATCTTCTGATCGAAATATGATTGCTGGAATCGGGTCCCGAGATGCCAGTCGCGCACTTTTGCCTCTGCGTCGAAACGTGCAGAACCGTAGTGTGAACCATCAGAAGAAAAGCGAGCTCTCTGCTCGGGCTCGCCACAGAAGATTGCTCTGAAAATCTCCACAAGTCACTGCCTAGCCTCCAAGAAGCAAGGAGCAATCACATGCATGACTCATCACGAAGTGTGCCTCTCCCTGCTAGGCGGTGGAATCCATTGGACAAGCGAGTTGCTTGAAACAACAAATTAATTTGGGCGCTTCCCTAAATCTTCCAAGTAATTGTAGCCAAATACCATGGTAGATGTCCTTCTGTGCTTGTAATAAACCGCTTGCAAGATTTAGGGAATCAACGCGCGCACTGCCCACACGTCTTGCTGGGCGGCTCCTAAACCCACGCTGAGTCAAATCAACGTGGCGACACTCTCAGCAGGTCTAGGCGCAAGCCATACATAAACGTGCTCAGTGCTGGCAGTCTTCCATTTGCAGAAAAACGCCTTTCAGTCATATCCAAAATGAAGGATGCTCGCCCGACAATTTATCTCAAAGTCAGAAACCCACTTTCACAAAAAGCTTCGTTTGGAGGACACCATGTCTTGGGTCATGTGAGTACTTAGAGCGACAATCAAAATCAGCAAATGGAATTGAAATGCCCAGTCTAGGCGCCGTGACTGTATCAACACAGGGCCTCCCGCAACCCAAGAAGGGTCCGTATTAAAAGGCTTCGTAGAATATTTTTCAGAACCATTCTATAGTGGGCAGGGGGGCCCTGTTGATTAGCCCTACTTAAACAAGAACACTTGGAGGCCTAACCAGCAGCCTTGCCGTGGCCGCTTCAAGTCATGCTGATGTGCACTTCCGATTTTGACCAGACAAACTGCACGTGTGATGGACAAACGTGCGGAAATATGGATCTCTACAACACGTGGAACCGCTTATTGATCTGCTACGAATCCAGAGTGGACATCATCACACGGAGAAGCTCTGTGCATACAGTGCTGGGTCCTGCGCAGCAATAATTGCCTGCAGGTTTAAAATGGATTCGTGAATCTCGCTCCGTTCCTTGCACGCACACAAATCCACAAGCTGCCTGAACTTCAAGGATGCCAAGCAACGGTTCAAGCCTTCAATGTTGCTCCGCATCGCAGGCCTTGCTTGGCTGGGGAGAGAAACCAAGTGCTGCTCGAGCAGCGCAATCAACTCTTGTGCTGGAAGATTCTTGGCAAGCAAGTGCGGCAGTACTAAAGCTAGGACATCTGCTTCCCCCAACCCTTTTATTGCATCCCGCTGCTTCCTGCTCAACTGCCTGTCGCGGTGGCTGCAGTGGCAAAAGCTGCATGCGGACCCTGCGGGACAGGACCCATGGTGCATGAAGAGGCAAGGTTTGTGGCATAGTTCTGGGTGACCGAAACTTCCCACTGAAAGCTTCCTCTCATCGTGGCGCACCTGATCGTTCATTCAAGAATACTGGGCCTCAACCGAGCCAAAACGGCTCCGATGGCACACATGCGCTTACAAGTGTCAAGACAGTGAAGTGGTTGGGGCCCTTGCCGCACCTGCCAAAGAAGCACAGGGCAACCTTTTCGGCTCTACAACATGGCAAAAAGGGTTGATCGCTCAGCAAAACCAGCTCGAGGTATGAAGAGTACTTGTTGGCACACTATACACTCCCATGTATTTTAGTTGCAGGTGATCCCAGGCTCCGTGCGGACAAGCAAGTCGCCCCCCCGCCCGCAGGTCAACGCATACTATATATAATGTAATATTTGTACGTGTGTACTGTTAACTCAAAGTGACTCTGCGAATTGATGTGTGAGTGTCAGACAGTGTCAGCACGCAATCTGCGCTAGGCTCAAATGTACAAACTGACTGTACAGCAATGATATGTTTTAACACTCCACCTCGGATTGATTGTACACATCTAATCTAGTGTACAAGACGCAAATCATGCTGCGCAGACCATCTTTGCTTTTCGGAATGTTGCAAGAAAAGTTGACCATGTGCCAGGCCAGTATTCTGTGCAACTGTGTTCCTCGCTGCGCAGATGATCACAAGTCCGGTTGGTCTTGTTGTGGACTGTGTCCAAGTGGATGCCATCCAATGTACGAAGGGGCTGTTTCCCCATGATGTTCTGCTCGATGTAGTCCAAAGATGTCACATGTGCCCTGTGCCTTTAAGGTACCTGATCATGCGCTTGAGCCTTGTTGTCAAGCTGCACTGGTGCTTGTACTGGTCTCGCTAGTTCCTTTGCTCCGTCGCAGATATCAGGTCGCCTGTGTGCTAGCCACTGCATTTTGCCAACAAGCCGCCTGTGTTGTTTGTGCTGTTCGTGGTCATGTCATCCTCTGCTGTACCTTTCATGTGCGACACTCCTGGTGATGGTGCTGGATTGCATGTAGTCGTTCCTGACTCTTCCAGAATTGTGTCCACATAGTTGTTGTTCAAGCTGATGTCAATGTAGTTGCCTTTGTGAGCAATGTTCCTGCAAGGGAGTGTATTGTTGAACCTGCATCGAGGTCACCTGTGCGCCTCAGCAGTACTTCCTTTTGCATTCTGCTGAAGAGCGTGTTGACCATGCTCTGTACTCCTATGAGTAGGAGGTTGTCTACATAAATCATGCTGTAGACTAGGACATAAACCGTGATGTAGACTAGGCAGTCTTTTGACCTGTAAACATTGCTCTCTGTTGCGCATTTCACAAGTTCAAGTGTGACTGTGAGGATGTGCGCAATGTGATCTTGCCGTTGTTTTGGCGATGATCACAAGCCACAGGTGGCCTTGTCTAGCCGCCGCATTACATGTCTGTTTTCTTCATTGTAGATGCGCGGCGGTCTCATTCCCAAGTTGTATGAGATTGCTGCTGCAGGTAGAAATGCAACACTCACATCTCCTGCGCAGACTGACCAATTCTACACCAATGCCATTGTGAAGAACTCTCAGTATGCAAAACAATCGTGTACTGGCAAAGAGAAGGTCGTGGTCTGCAACGGGTCCTGTGTAGCCTTTTGCTACAATTCGTGCTCGTGCTTCATTGTTCTGAACCCATCTTGATTCAATGATGTTTGCTCGTTGTTCTGGTGTCATTGTGTCACCATCAATCTCTGTAACGACTGATCGGTCTTTGATTTGTTGCACTTCTTTCTTCATGCCTTGTGACACCAGTTGTGGATCCAAGTCTTCTATGTCATGTGCGATCGGCTTTCGGTTTCTTGTGTGTCTTCATTTGATGTGGTCTTGATTTGTCTGCCATCCTTTGTAGTGAGCTTGATGGCGTTGATCCTCATGTTGCTCTTTGGTTGTTCTGCTGTTGTTGGTCTCTCCGCCGCGTGTCTCTTTTTTTGTGTGGCACGCTGTTGCTTGCCTGTGACGCCTTCTGCTATTGTGTCGTCTCTTCCTCTTGTGTGTGGCGCTGGCAACGCTGGTCGCCTCTGCTGTGTTGGTGATGCGGCCATTGGTGTTCTCGGTTCACCTGTCTTCTTCTGCTTTGTCTGTTGATCGCTTGTTTGCGACGCACTCTGTCTTTGGCCTTCTGCTGTAACACCTGTTGTTGCATCCTTCTGCGATGGTGGTGCCTTGCTTGTAGCTGGCATTGTCAGCGATGTTGTGTAGCCTGTGCTTACAGTCCAGTAGTTGCTGGTTGTACTTTGTGAGGCGTGAAGCAGCATCTGCCTTCTGGTTGTCCTTGCTCTGACAATCCTGTTGTAGATGCCGATAAGAGATTCACCTGTAGTTGAATCTGTGCCAAGCCAGATCCCATTGTAGAACCTTGGCTCAAGTTTTGGACATTGTTTTACTGTTGGAAGCATGTGCTGCACTGTCTCACTAAACTCACAAAGTGGTGCGTGTTGCTGTTCCATCTGTTGAAGTTGTTTGTGCGTCCATTGCTGTGGATCGCATATCTGTTCTTGATGCGCGCTATGTCAAACTATCCAAGGCATGAGCGGGTGTTCCATTGCAATGTCTCGGTTGTAGTTCTGCTTGATCTGTGCCTTGAATGTTCCTTTTTTTCGCAAGCAGAGTTCTGTGTGCTCGCTCTGTGTGCTCGCTCTGCTCCTCCTCGTGATTGTGAACTGTGTGCTCCTGGGTTCCTTGTGGCGATGTTGCCATTCTTGTTGGCCACTGCTGTGATCAGTGCTGTGTGTGATGTTCTTCCACATGCAATGAGGAAGCGCTGCACCTGTGTGACTGCGTAGACGAAGAGCATTCTCTTGTTGGTCATTTGTATGGCCATGCATACTTGCGTAGCCGCACCACTGTCAATCATGCGACCGACCCGCTTGTTGTCTTCTGTATGTTGCTGCGTTGGCAATTGTTCCTTCTTGTAATCCTGAGATGGGTGCTGCTGATGAATCAGCTGGCTGTGGTGGTTGTGGTGACGCAAGCTATTACATCTGTGTCTGATCCTGGTGGTACCAGTTGTTGTCGTAGTGTGTCTGGCTGTGGCAGTCATCTGTCGGCCGTTGGTGTCAAAGTTGCCAGTGTTGCAGTTCTAGATCGCCACTCTACATTGTTTGGCCATGTGTCCTGGCCGTCCGATCTGTAGCAAACAGATGTTGCACGCTTTCCGTTTGCTCCTTTTCCTCCTTGTTGGTTGTTGTAGTATCCTTTGCCTTTTCCTTTGTTGCTGTATCCTTTTCCCTTACCATATCCTTGTCCTTTGAAAGGATTTCCTTGTCCAACAGGTTGATTGCGCTTGCCGTTTTCTCCTTTGTGGTTGTGGTAGCTGTAGTTGTTCCCGTGTCTGCGCTTTCCTTTGCCCTTGCACTTGCCCTTCTTCCCTTTGCCTTTGTTGTACCATGATGCTCCTATGTCCATCGGTGCTGGTCCTTGATTGTTGTTGCCTGATGCGATTGCTTGCTGTCTGATGAATGAAGCTGCCGCTCTGTAGTACTTGGTCACCATATGTTGTGATGTTTCCTGCTTGCAGCTGTAGGTGTTGCTGTAGTGGTCCTTTTGTCTCACTGAGCAGTATTGCAATCTTGACTGCGTCTGGTAGTAGTGTGTTGTTGTCCTGTTCGTACTTGGAGAGTTGGAATTCGCTCTTCGAACTTCTGCTCATCCAGTTGTGGCTTTAGCAGCTGTAAGGTGCCCAATGCTTCTTGTACCAAGAGGTATGGTGTATTTGGCATGTGTCAGCCGCCGTGTCTCAAAAAAATGTGTTGCGTGTTTTGTCTGCAGATCACCAGGAGGTAGTGTAGACTGTTGCTCAGTTGTACCATTGTTCTGCCACTCGTTGTGAAGGTGCTGCGTTCTCAAGTTGGTTTGTAAATTGTCCTGTTGATTGCTCTGACTGTCTCAGCAGTCTGATGTGTGGGCGGTCCTGTGGTCCAAGGTATGCTGTCATCTTGTATTTCCATTTCTCAAAGGTGTTGCGTTCAGTGAAATCTTGTACTCGGGGGGCTCCTTCCAGCTGCTGCTGCGTGTTGGAGCTCACCCTGAGTAGTGTGCGAGGATCGTGTGCCAGGGATCACTGCTCTGCTACAACGTTAAACTCAAAGTGACAGTGTGAATTGATGTTTGATCTGTGAGTGTCAGCACGGCCGTGTAGCTCTTTTGTACTGGGGCAATCTGTGATGGCTCGAGGCCTTGATGCGCAAAGGCATCGAGGGGAATAAACTGACAGTGCAGCAATGGTATGTGTTAAAAACGTGTATATACATGTATGTATATGCATATATATATATATATACACACACATATATATATGTATATATATATATTTATATGAGTCCAGGCCCTGCCAGATAGCACAGGCGAGGCACGCCCAAGCGCTTGATGGCCAGGGCAGTCAGGGTCTCGCGCCGCCGAGGTGCCTGCACAGGTTGAGGGACCGAATGGGCTGCGAACAAACTGCCATCATGCGGACATCAACTGGCTCAACATGGGGCCCAGAGTGCAACGGTACCAAAAATCATTTCTCCCAATTCGGGGCTTGTGCGGGGTACTTGCACCCTCTCAGGCGCCAAAGTGCTGGCGCCAACAAACATATCCGCCAACAACAAATGGCGCGTTGCCTCCCTCCCTCCCTCCCGCCCTCCCTCCGTCTCTCATCTCTCCCTCTCTCATCTCTCCCTCCCTCCCTCCCTCCCTCCCTCCCTCTCTCTCTCTCTCTCTCTCTCTCTCTCTCTCTCTCTCTCTCTCTCTCTCTCTCTCTCTCTCTCGTTAAAATTGGTCCTTACTGTTGTTACAAGTGCAAATGCTGTAGTGTTCAAACAAACAGTCAACCAATGTAGTGAGCGTGTGGTACTAGTGTCCAGGGATGCAGTGGATGGGTCGTGTGTAGTCAAGCTGTGAAAGTGGAGTCGCTTGTTGTTGTGAGAGTAGTTGATACTCTTCCAGTGTAAGTGCAGTGAAAAAACTGAGTGTAGGGAGTGTTGTTAGGCAGTGGTGGAGTAGTGGTTGTTTGGTACTCCGTGAGGTGTAGTTGTTCCATCACTGTCGCCGGGTTGTAGTACGCTGTGGTGCCAGGAGTGGTGTGGTTGAAGCGGTAGTTGGACTCGTTGTAGGTCTGAAGGGTTGGTATTGCATGGTCACTGGAGTCGGTAGTGACCGCCACCTCAGGTGTAGTCGCCTTGTCAGGCGTAGTCGCATCCCCCATCGTAGCATCTGCAGTGGATGGAGCGGCCATTGCTGCAGTGGAATGCAAAATGTAGTGAAACGGGGCAAAACAAAATGAGCCTAAGTAGTAGCTATCAGACAGGCGGCGCATGCAAACATGCAAAACAAAAAAACTGTAGTGTTGACTCAAGCCGCCAAAAGTGCAAGTGAAAATACATGTAGTTACTGTTACTTACATACCAAAGGTGTCGTGCTACATGTAGCTACTTACATACAAGAAATGTTCAAAGTCGTTGTTGTTGTTGTTGTGAAACTGTTGCGCTGGTCGTTCGTAGTGCTAAATGCGTATCCCAATGCTCTGGATGAGCCTGTGTAGTGTTTCCTTGCTGATGTATTTGGTAAACAAATCTGTGCTGTTGTGAAGTGTGTTGATCTTGGGGATTCTGAGGATGTCGTGCTTGATGAGGTCTTTTGTGTAGAGAAATTTGAGGTCGATGTGCTTTGCTCGTTTGCTAGTGCCTTGTCGTGTAGCAATGCTCTTGCCTGCTGTGGAGTCTGTGTGGATGCGTAGGTTTCTGCAAATGTTGGTTTCAAGTAGGAAGTTTCTGAGGTGTAGCCCCTCATGAACTCCCGCGCAAATGGCGTAGAGTTCAGACTCTGCTGAGCTGAGCGCTATTGTAGCTTGTGTCCTGTTGTTCCTAAAAAGATGATGTTAAAACCTGAAGTTGATTTCCTGGTAGTAGGGCATCCTGCCCAGTCAGCATCGACATGAACGTCGAGATCCAGGATGTTGTTGGTGTTTGCTCTGAGTGTTGTTGTTGGTTCTATGGTGAATTTGTAGTGCTTGAACCGTGCAAGTAGCGTAGCAAGTGTTTGGCTCTCTTTTGCGAAAGTTCTGTAGGTGCTGCGAGGTCTCGTGCTAGTTCTTTTGTAGAGTATGCGATGTCTGGTCGTGTGTACGCTAACCATTGAAGTTTGCCAACAATCCTTCTGCACCTTTTGTGTTGTTCGTGGTCAAGAGGTGCTTCATCCTCTATTGTTGGTTTGTAGTGGGCGATTCCTGGAGCGGTCACTGTGTTGCAGTTGGTCATTCCAGACTCCTCGATCATGTTGTCGATGTAGGAGTCCTTTAGTCCAAGGTTGCAGTAGTTGCCGAAGCGGTCGGTGTTCCTTCCAAGAAATTGTTGTGGTTTGCCAGGAGCCGATGCGCTTGAGTAGGACCTGCTTCTGGACGGCCTCGAAAGTGGACCATGATGCAGCAGTCGGGAGTCGCATTGGTGTAGACGTTAAGTTCTGAATTTAGTCTTACAAAGCTGAGCTTTTGTAACACTTCAGCCAGGTAGTCCTGCCATGCTTTTGGTGAAATGCGTAGTCCACACATGGCTTTCTTTAGTTGCCATATTTTGTCCTGTTGTGGACAAGGTTCTTTAGGTGGCCAAAGGTAGAAGTCACGTTGTTTACCGTCGTGGTCTTTTGCGATGGGCGCGTGTAGAAATGCTGTCTGGTCGCGCGATCCAGTTTGGTCGTGATTTGTAGTGCGAGGAGTGTCCGGAGTGTCGTGAACGGTGTAGAGGCGTAGACAGAGTCTTCGTCCTCGATCTTTTCCGTGTAGCCTTTTGCGACGATTGGCTTCGTGCTCCTGATCCTGGTCCTTTCTTTCTGTGTACCCATCTTGTAGGTATCGCTTCTTTCAGGATGTTGTCGTCGACGGTAGACGCATCTACTTCGTCGTAGACGTCATGTAGTTTCATTTGGTTTGACTCGTGTTTCACATTCCTTCCAGTAGTTGTGTTTCGTCATAACCTTCGTTGTCGAAGATGCTGGGTTGGTCTTCTGAGGTGTCGTCGTTTGTGTAGGGAGTGATGGATGTTCCGTTGGGAAGTGTCACTGCGTTGATTTTCTGTCGTAGTGGTTGCGGTTCTTTGGTTGCTTGTTCCGTTGATCTGATTGTAGTGTCCTTTGAGTCTTCTGTGCTTTGGTTGGTTGCATTACTTCTTCCGGAGTTAAACGTCTTAGCGTTTGTCGAGGTGGTGCTGGTAGTGGTGGATGTTGTCGTCCGGTGGGTGAAGTAGCCATGGAACTATCCGGTAGTGGTCGTGAACTTGACGTCGATGTCGACGGAAGTCGTGGAGGTGGTGTAGCGCGTTGTTGTTTCGTTGCGGGTTCCGCAACGATGTCGTCCGTCGCGTTCGTCTGTTGTCCGACGTCTTGCGTGGACCTTCTCTTCTCTGACGGTTGTAGTTGAGTGCCCAACAGTGTTGCGAACGACGGGTTGTAGGTGTTCCGTCGTGGTGCCCATGGTGTGCCGGAAACTTTGTTTAACAGTGCGAGGTCGTATTTGAAGTCCGGTTGTAGTCTCCGTACTGTTCGTACCTTTTGTACGCCTGGTTCCGTTGCGACGTAGTTTCCTCCGGTTTCGGAAACTTTTCCGAGCCAGATGCATTTCTGCATCCGTAGGTCTGCCTTCGGAAGTTTCTTGTGTTGTGGTGGAAGATAAAGTAGTGTCTCGCCAAACTCGAAGATTGCTCGCTCGTAGCTTCTTCCCCAGCGGCGTTCAAAGCTGGTGTAGCCGTCTGAGTGGATGACGTAGCGTTTACAGCCCATGCTGCGTGTCGTACTATCCAAGGTAGTAGACAGTGCTTCGTGGACATCGTCATGCTGTAGTTGCTTTCAATCTGTGCTTTGGCAACGCGCACCTGTCCGAGGAGTGTTCGGTGTAGTCGCTCAACACTTCCTTGACTGTTGCTGCTGTAGGAGGGTGCGTGCCAGCAGTCATTGAGCCGACTTTTGCTGCTGTAGCTTTTAGAAGTGCGTTGAATGTGTCTTCGTTGTCGCTTTGTGGTATGCCTTGTGTTCTCCCGCACTCAAAGATGAATGCTTGTAGGTTGTTGACCATGTAGTCCATCATTGACCATGTAGTCCATCATTGATGGTTCGTCCCGGACCATTACTGCCATACACAGTTGTGTAGTAACATCAACTGCTGTCAGTACTGGTATGGTCTTTGGGTCTTGTTGTGACTTGATGTAGGCGAAGTCTACTTGAATGACGGGTTGTCGTGATTGTTGTTTCTTGTAGTTGTCTTGGCGTCCTTTGCCTTGAACGCAAATCGGACACAAGTTTCTGTATGGTAGGTGTGTAAGATTGTGTTCTGCTATTTGTTGCGGAGTTGGTTGCTGTGGTTGTCGTAGTCCTCTTGCTCTGTGTGCTTCGTGATGCTCGTGTTGTTGTTCCTCATCGTGGTTCTCCTGGATGTACTCGTAGTCTTTCTTCACGGTGAACCTTGTTGTTCCTTTCCATTGGAATGGTAGTGCTGCGTTGCCCATGACTGTCCAGTCATCTTTGCATTGTGAAACTTCTCCAAAGTTGTTGCGAGTGATTGTAGTTCTGTGAGGCTCAAGTGTGCTGATTGGTGGATGTTCTGGTCCATCTGTTGGAGTGAAGAGAGTTGTTCTGAGTGTTGTGTTGTGGTGTCTTATCCAGTGTTCACCCTGTCTTTCCCAGTAGTCTTGGTTGTCCTCCTGTGCTGTGAGTGGTCTGTGGATTGTCTCCTTTGGTTGTGTAGTGTCGAGATCTGTTGAAGGTGCTGCTTTAGGTCTCCATATAACTTGTGGTGCTCGTAGTTGGATCTTTGATCTGGTTGGCGGTGTGTCCATTCGCCGTTGTGGTTGTGAGCTCTGCCTTATTGGTGTGGTCTTTGATGTTGCTCTGCGTGTAGGTGTTATCTTTCTTCTGAACCTGGTTTCTCCAGTCCAGTTGTCACCTTCTAGTCTTCGTGTAGTTCTTGCTTGGAAAGTTGTGTTGGGTTCTCTTGTGGTTGTTCTTGATCTTGCCCTTGTCTGTTGATGATGGTGAGTCGCCAATCATCTAGTTCTCCTTCTAATATTGGGCAACCACTGTTGTGTGGTGCAAACAATGCTTTGCGCGGTCGTTTGTGGACTCTGATGGCGTAGTCACCATCAAGTTTCCAGTCGTCAGTGTTTCCACCAAGGATCTCTCGCAGTCCTTGGTCTGTGTGTGTGAGTGGTGCAATTTGTTCTTGTTGTTGTGTTGTCACAGCAATGGATTTTCCATTGTCTGTAGTCATTGGGTAGATGCCGAATCCTGTAAGGATGTCGATCTTCTCTGCTCGTAGGTAGAAAAGTCCTGAGTGTCTTATGAGATGCGCTGGTTGTTGTCCATGTGTGATGGTGCAGTGTCGTGGATTGAAGTCGAGTCCATATCCTCTATCAAGTAGTCTTGATGCACTGAGGATTGGACACTTCACATCACAAACGTAGTAGGGTATCATGATCCTGATCCTGAATTTGTCCTGCTTGTAGGGAACATACTTGATGCCGTAGATAGGAATCTTCTTTGGCAACCGTGTAGAGTTGTGGAACTGGTTCTCCACAAGGTCGTAGCGGTAGGTCTGGCGCGTAGTCCTTCAGGCAAACATGTGTAGATGCTCCTTAGTCGATCAGCAGGCGATGGTATGATTTGAAGTTGGAGTACATGATGTAGTGCGTGATGGCGCCCTCAATCTTCTTGATCCTTTGCTGTTGTGTTGCCGCTGCTATGTCGAGGTGTAGCTGTGCGGTCTCTTCTTGGAGGAATTGTTGAAAGCTCTTGATGCGGTCGTTCCATGATGTTGTGTGTGTTGTTTTCTTGCCAAGTAGTGATTTGGATTTGTGCTTGTGTAGTAGTGACTTTGCTTGTCTGATGTGTCCAATGGTGAGGTGTGACTCGTTGATGCCTCCAATGTAGTTTGTTGTGTCTTCGTAGCTGTTGTCATTCCAATCCCAGCTGTTGTCCTAGTCGTACTCCTCCATGTAGTTTACCTCGTGTTGTCCTTCTTCTCCTTCGTAGTACCAGTCCCAGGTGTCGTTCACATCTTAAGGTAGTTCTTCATTGTTGTCATGATCTGCTTGTTCTTGTTCTAGTGGATGTGGTTCTTCTCCTTCTCCTATGTGCCATAGCGGCGCTCTGCAGTCCTGTGCCCAATGGCCAGGCTTGCCACATCGGTGGCATGTCGTGTAGGTTGCTTCCTTTTCCTTTTGCTTTGCTGTAGTTTCCTTGGCCTGTGTAGCCCTTGCTTGATCCATATCCTTTGGATCCTGAGTAGCCTTTTTTTTGCTCTTGTTGTATCCTCCTTTGTTGTAGCTTCCTTTGTTGCCTTTGTCGAACCCCTTGGAGCGTCCTTTGCTCCTGCGCTTGCCTTTGCTTTTGCTTCCTTTGTAGTGGCCTTTGCCTTTTCCTTTGCCTTTGTAGTTTCTTCCTTTCCTCCATATGTTGTCAACATCCATTGGCGCAGCTCCTCCGTTGTAGTTTGCGCCTACTGCTGAAGTCGATATTGAGAAGGCTGAAATCGTCTTGTAGTAGTCCAGGATGACTGCTCTGATCTCGATGTAGTTCGTGATCTGTCCAGCTCGCAGTTGGAGATGTTGCTGCAGTGCTCCTTTGGTCTTGTTGAGTAGCATTGCTATTTTGATTCCATCTGTAGTGCTGCGCCGTTGTCTTTCTCGTAGCGGTTGATGTCGTACTCCCATTGTAGGAATTGCTCTTCAAACTGCGCTTCGTTGAATGTAGGTTCCACTTTGGTGAGGTAGCCAACGCTTCTTGTTCCTACTGGTAGGCTGAACCTGTTGTGTAGGAGTCGCAGTGTTTCACATCCATTTGCGTTGTAGCGGTGTTGCCTTACTACTGTAGCTGCTCCCTGACAAATGTTGATGAGGATGTAGTGTAGATCTCTGGAGAGGTCTACTGCTTTGCTTGCTTGTGTAGGGTCGAGTATGTGTGTTCTGAAGCCTGTGTCCTCAATCTGTCGTGTAGCCACTTGCTAGTTGTAGCACCAGGTCGAAGTCTCGGTCTATGAGGCCGAGGTATGCTTGTAGCTTGAACAGCCATTCTTCATACTGGGAGTAGTCACCAGTGAAGAAGGGTGGTGGCAGTTTGTATCTATGTAGTCTCTGAACCTGCTCCCGTAGTCGTGGCTCCTACTGTGTCTGCTGTTGGCCCGTTCTCCGCTCCTGTAGTTTGTTGTGCTGAGGCTGATGCTGCTTCTCCGGACATGTCGTAGTAGTTTGCTTACCCTTACTGTTGTTACAAGTGCAAATGCTGTAGTGTTCAAAAAACAGTCAACCAATGTAGTCTGCAGCTGCCAACCTTTTGACTCATGCGATGTAGCGAGCTCAAGGCCTGCAGTAGTGAACATACATGCAACACAAATGCAGGAAGTGAAGCGTGTAGTTTGACATCTCTCTCTCTCTCTCTCGCGTACCAATTCATGGTTTGTGCGTTTTTCTGCGCAGATGCACAAAGTGCGTCGTTTGTAAGAAGGAAAACTCGCTCTTTTCATCGCCAATCTGCGCTTTCATCTCTTCGTTGCGCGTCTTCGAACCGTGAGACACCTGATTCTTTTCGACACCCAAACTTCTCTAGCATCGCCTAGCGCGTTGGTCGTGCTGTAGGGTCGCCTTTCATCCGCGCCCTCTCGTGTTTGGAAGGCCCTCGGTTGGGGGTTGATGGCGACTTCGATCGACCCTCTTTGCCGGACTCCTCGCCGTCCTTGTCAGCCCGTGTTTCACGACTAATCATTTTCCGTAATTAATACTGGTCTGCTCACACTTCCGTCGCTGGGGGTGTGACGTCTTGAGGTGTTGCAAATGTCGCACCATTCCTGATGTTTTTGCTCGCCCCGGCAAATTCGCCGTCCGTGGGATAGAGCCTTGTGTGGCTGATCACGGGTTTGGCGAAGCACACGGATGCCGATGGTGTGAGCTCCCTTAGACAAGAAACACGGCCAAGTTTGGGACCTAACGCGAACCAGCCAATGATCATCAGAACATCACTGTGTAAAGGAGCACGGGCCTCGGAGCCTCTTAAGCTGCAAAGCACACCGCCGCGTGTTACGCAGAAGTGCTGCGCTGCCTGACACGCAACGCGATGTGAGCCGTTGCTCTGCGCGCAGGCGCTCGGTAAGAAAAACACGCGCGCGGCCGCACGGCTTATCAGGACCCCAACACAAAGAGAAGAGCAACTGAGGAAAGGACGGAGCATGAGGGGAAAAGAGAAGCAAAAAATCCAGGTGAAGCGAAATGAGGGGGGGCCAAGGGACACGAATGGGTAGGAGGTTTCGCAGCAGCGAAAATCGAGTATTTGGGTACGTTGACAAGACGCACGGCCTGTGCGATGCAAGGTCAACAGGTATGGGTTCTTCGTCGTCGCGCCGAGTCTCCGACTTTGCCCCAACTTGCGCTCGCTTCGACTCGCCCAGCGATTCTTGGACCAGCCGTGGCGTGTGAGACTTAAGCGGAAGCCGACTGGCGACCGAGACCTGCGGGGAATCCAAAGAGCAATCCTTAAACTCATTGGAATCCATCCCAGATGCTCTTTGATTCCTCTTTGGCGCACAGTTCTGATTTCGTGATTGAGTAGGACAGCCCTCCAAAATGCCTGCTCCAACTGCCTCCAGTCCGTCTGAAGCAAGCGCTCGTTCCCAGCCGCCCCCGCACCACATCTCTCCCCAAACACATTCCTGGTGAATCCGAACCCCCAACTCCGGCGAAATAGCTTAGAAACTAGTCAATTTCCCACGGTCAAACTCCCATCTCCGTCTGAAGCCGTGCAAAACCGGTCCAACGGTCAATTCCCCCCACAAACCAAGCAAATCCCCCCAAAAACCTCTCCAAACCCGTCAAATCCTTTTAAAAAACCGGTCCAGCTCAGTCAAGTGCCAGAAGCTGCCTAGAAACCGAAACATTCCCCAGAAACCGGTCAAATTCCCCCCTAGAAACCGGCCAAATCTTCTCGAAGCACCGGTCCCCAGAAACCGGTCCAATTCCTTGACCCCAGTCGCTATCTAGCCCTTGAGGCCATAACATGCACCCCGCGCATTTCCGGTGCCGAACCACTCTTTCAAGCAAAGGCAAACCAAAACACAGTAACTACTATGAAGGAAAACAAAAGACTATTGAAAGAAATGAAATGCAGGAAAACAAAGTGAGATGCAGGAAGAACTGAAGGGACGTCAAGTGAAGGGCAGGTACCCGGAAATGAAGAGAACCAGGGAACGTCAGCGTCCAAATCAGGGGTAAACATTAAGCCTGGCCTCATCGTTTCCGATTTCTGTACTGCCATTAGCATCTCTAAACGTAAATTTAATTCTGAAAGAATGACATGTGCGCGTCTACGCTCTGTGTAGAGGACAGCTTTCAATTTCAAGTGCCAAATTTGGCAAATCAATGGCATCGTTTATTTGGTGCGCGAGATCATGCCTGCAAGACCGCATCTGTGGCGCCCCCAGCAAAATGAGCGACAGCGGAAACCACGCACTGCCATACTTCAGCTCTTTTGCTCGGATGTGAGATTGTTTCACAGAAACCAAAAAAACAGATGCGGTACAAACTGATCCCATGATTAACGTGTGTTTATGTCCACAAACAGATCCCGAAGAAATGAGCTGCTAAATTTGAAGTACTTCCAAGCTGAGAAAACTCTCACGACGAGTTCAACTTCACGCGGAGGCCTGGACGCAGAAAATCCATGGAGCTGCGCCCAGTTCTTCACAAACGTTGCTTCGAGATCTGTGCTGGAAGGCATATTTGCAGGATGCCTACCTGCTTTTCATGCGCCCATACCGGTGCTTGGACGTGATCAGATTGGAACATGAAGAACGTGAAAGGTAAGAAGGCGTGGACAAGCTACGCCGGCTGCGTGTGCTGTTCACAATTGACTTGCATGTGTCTGGTGGTTGGCAAACATTTGCCGAAATAGTTCGTGAAATCTAGGGCTCGAGCCTCTATCGTGGACAGCACAAAGGACAAATAGCCAAGCAGAACTGGGAGATGCATCAGACCAAGGGCATGACTTCGTATGAATGGGTATGCCACGAGCAAAGCTCTAGTCGTCTCGTTCGCCGAAGGTTACAGCACTGTCCAACCCCCAGTCAAGAACTGTCGGGCTCGGAAGACTTGCAGACGCACGATTGGCATGCTGATCCCCGAATCGCTGGAAGCAACAACTTTCAACTAAGCAACCTGCAAAACATCAGCTGAGTCGCTTGATATTGTGTTGCTTTGCTCGGCTAGCAGCTCATAGAGGGCGGCTCGCTCACGCAATGTAGGCGGCGTCGAGGGGTCGTAGAGCCAGAACCTTGCCAGAAGCAGAATGACAGCTGTGTGTGTGTGTTTCTATGGCAGTGATGGTAAGGAAAGAAAGCGATAACTATAAGTCAAGGCAGGAAAACGCAACACAACAACACACATGCTACTCCTCAGTGATTGCCAATGCCAAGCTGAGAATCCAAATAGCACTATATAGGACCCCAATACATGAATTGCAATGCCTTCATCAAGACCTCTGCTTGGGGTTACCAACTCATCCCCAGCGCAAATGGCCCCTTGCAGCAACTTGGAGCAACACGCCTACGATTCTCTGACCAGCAACCCAGCGCAGCGCTCCGCCAGCTGCTCGACAAGGGCCGGGTGGTTCTGCTGTGAAGCAATGGCCACAGACCTATGGCTGTGGTGGCCCTCCAGACGCTATTAAAAAAAGAAATGAAGCTGCAAAGCAGTGCCAAGTGATCATGGAACAGAGAGATAATCTGGCCGGATGCCGTGCCACCGTACCTCACTTGCAAGTGGTCCAGGAGGGCAAGCAGTCTGCGAGGACTCAAACCTGTCGGCCCGGAAGATCTGTGCCATGTGGCTCAAAATGAAAAAGAATCGCGGGGGCCAACCGCAGGTTTTAGCCTTTGGTTCCATTTGCCTTCCTTGGTACTTTTGGTTTGATCAAACCTGTGCCATGTTTGGCATTCTGAAGGCGCAACAGGATTGTTCACGCGCTTTGGCTCACCCACCTGAAACAAATGAGCGCTGCACGAGGCGACACGCTCACATACTTTTGCTTTCTGCTGCGAAGGAGTCAGAAAGGCAGCAACATGTTTGCACAAGTCGTGCTAGCAGCACAAGGCTGCAGGCCATGGTCCTGCCTCTCCAAAAACAACTTACCCCGCATTTCAAGTCTCGCCTGGACTGTGCAACAGGCTTACCACTGTCCTTGGGCACTACATTACGTTGTTGACAGTTCCTGCGAGGATGCTTAGGCAATCAGATGAACCGACCACACCTGTTCACTCAACTCCATCACTTTCCCAACCTCTGCAAAAGTCGGTCTGCCAACGGACGCAATGTCGGGGTGCTAGGCTGAGAGCTGTGAGCTAGTGAGAGCTAGTTAGGGACCTCATGTTTAGAACCGCAAGCATGACGCACCCTCTTCAAGCATCACGGTCCGACGCCTTCCGACAGCTCACAGCTCTCTTACCTGGCCGCCCTAGGCGACGTTTGCCACGTACCTCGTTTCAGCTTCCCCCTGGATTGGTGATTTGGATTGGTGGTTTGGTGGTTAGGGAGTGGTTTCCCATCTATCCTCTACAAGAACCAAGGGTTCAAATCCCCGAACCACCAATCCAAACCACAAACTAAGGGTAACCTGAACGTACTTCGTTTAAAAACAAAAAACAAATCCTCCGGATGAGTCAATGAGACTATCTTTCCCCAGTGGCAAATGCATGCCTGGCATTTAGTAGGAAAGCCGCATCAGCAGCATATCCGCTGCTAAGCGTCTGGAACTCACTGAATCCTGCGATTCACCGACTATTGTGTCACAACTACTCAAAAGGTCGTGAAGCTTTACACACATTCCTCCACCTGTGTCGTTCAGAGCTTCAGCACCATCCGACTTGTGGCCAACATCATGCACCGCTGCGACCTCCGAACCGATGGTCCCTCGTCTTCCGGCATCTGATCTTCGTCCATGGGCCGCAGGCAATGGATGAACTGCTGAAACCTCTTCGGCTCCCTCTTCACCGCTTTCAGGAACGCGTTCAGCTCAGCTTCGTGCTGGCTCGCTGAGCCTGGACAAAAAGCAACAGAACTAAAATGCGTCTTTGTGAGCAAAAGCGGCAACAAAAGAAGGTGATACTTTTGCCCTCGTGCCTTGACTGAACTCACGCGAGTTGTGCATGGCCATCTTGAGTGGGACACTTGTGCGGAATGCGAGGAAAGACTTGAGCCGAGTGAAGAATCAATCAAGCTTCTTGAAGGCAGTGCGTGCCCCTGTGCCCCTGAGCCCACAAAGCCCCATTTCTCTGGTCCCAGCGAGCCTTCCACTTCCAGCAGCCGCACTTCCAGCTCGGGGAAGCGGCGCCGAAAGTCGGCGATCCCGGCGCCTGGGAGGCGCGCAAACGCGCGCGTGACCGCGCAGGACTGGCCCGCTGGGTTCGGATGAGTTGCGAACGAAATCATCAGATCACAACCCGTAGTCTTAAACTAGTCCTTCAGGAATTGTCTGAATCCACAACGCGGATACTGCAAAGTGTGGTTTGAAACTTTACGCTGGAGCATGCAAAACCCATGAAACCCATAATCCGAAATCTGCGAATTGCAGTCCAATCCGTAATCCGCTAATCATTGGGGATTTGGCTTTCAGCAAGCTAGGAAGGAATACCAAACAGAAGTTCCTTCTGGAAGAAACACCCATATTTTGCTGCATTGAGAGAAATAAGTTCCCCGCGCGTCGCTATCCGGTTCGCATGAACAGTTCCAGGAAGGAGCAGTCGCTTCTCCAATGCGAGCCGTCCAAACGGATTTTTTCTTGAGATTTCTAGAAGCTCCTCCAGTCCGAAAATCTGAGTACCTCACGAAGTGACTTAAGCCATCCTCACTTGAACGCTTTCAAATGCTCTATTTCGCGAATCCGGAAACTCCTCATGTGTTTCCAAGACTAGCAAACATTGCAGAACCAAATTCTATGAACTGAAATACCCTGGAATAGCGGGAATAGTATGTCAAGGACGCTCGAAAACTCGGCAACGTTGAACGTGATCCACACGTTTCTGTGGACAAAAACTTGGGCTCAGCCTTTCGAGTGAAAGCGAGTGCAGCTGCATCAGTCGGTACAGCAAAGCAAATGCAACTAGAATGTCAAATTTTGCTGTTAGGCACGACCGGTTGCTGCATCTACACTGACAATGGAAGTTTGAAGCGAATGGCAAAAAATAGTGTATATATATATATATAATGTCTGTATGAGATGAGATGATCGGGCATCTAGGTAGATCCACGCACCCCCCTCCCCTGTCAAAGCAGATAAGAAAGACATGTCCAATGTCATTGGTTGGAGATCGTACCCACCACCCCCCGCACGTGCACGCAAACACACACACTTAAACTCCAAATGGAGAGTGCTAATCTTTCGAGTACAACTGATGAGTCTCGAGTACAACTGATGAGTCTCGAGTACAACTGGATCGGATGGCAGGTCACTTGGCTTCAATCTAGCTACTTCAACAGGGAGACAGAGAAGCAACAGCGGTTCAGGGGAGGGAGGGACCAAAAGGACATTGCTCATCACTGCAGGTACGTGGATTCTGCGTCCAGAATCCATATCAGCACTGATGGAAGCCTCTTCGTTGGGCCGTCACTTCCATGCAGTGGACAGCCCCCCTGCTCCCAAAACCGGCACATGGTGGTGACAGGGTATTACACGCCCCTCAATGAGGGGCGAGAAGTCTCTTTTTCTGCAGGAAGACCACATGCGCAACTTCGTGTCCCTATCGTTGACCAAAATATCCACCGCGGCAAGGGGAACGCGAAACTGCCCTAAGCCGCTCAGAAGACGGGAACGAAACATCACCACGATGAGCATTACGAGTGTCGCCATAGAAGACTGAAGCGAATTGCGAAGCAGTCGAGCGATCACCGTCAGAAATAGGAGTGGCATAGGTGAACATTTCCTCAACAGGAATTGCATCGGAATTCTGCACATCTCCAAGTGATTGATCACGGGCATGATGTGTAGCGAAGGACTGCCTTTGAGAGAGAATGCGTTGGTATCCTTGATGCTGCCAGTCGCGAATGGTCCATGCCTGACCGTGTTCACCAGTCCCACCACTGGGATCAGTTATTTGCTGCCACTCCCGAAAAGAGTTGTCTGGTAGATCAGGTACGGTTTCTCCGGGTTGCCATAGCTGAGGCTGTCCTGGAGTATAGATCCGCACCCACTCCTGATCCTGCCAGACCGAGTATTCGAGCCATGGGTACTGCTTCGCATCCTCGATGTCCATGCCGAAGTGAGAGGCGGGCGTGCCGCGGGTTCAGATCCAGCTAGTAAAGAAACAGGCACCATGCACAACCATGCACAAGCATCAACCAAGCAAGGCAGTACAAGTATGAAAACCACCTTTTTTGTACTATGCCCAACACGCGTCAGTCTAGTCATCATTTAGCTTGAAGATAGGCTTCACCTTCGCGGCGGTGCTGCCTGATGGATTCGTAGGCCGGTATGGGTCAGAGACCCCAATAGACTCCGGTGGTGCAATTCCACGAGACGCACGTACAGGTTGGTGTTGTTGGGATGCGTGACGTGCGCGATCCGACAGTTGTTGAGAGATCCCCTCTTGAAGACGAGTCAGATCTTCAGTGGAGAAAGCCGCCGCATCCGAGGATCTAAGAATCGCTTCCAACATCTGCGGTGACATACTCAATGCCGAGGATTGTGTGGCCACGTTATGCTGATCAGGAAAAGACATCGAGTCGAAGTCATGACCAGTGTGAGGGGCAGCGACTCTCCGAT